AGTCAGAGACGACACCAACGTAGTAGGGGACGTTCTCCCACTGGTTGAAGACGGAAGTCTCAGAGTCGTCGAGGTCGAAGGGCGCGAGGTTCTGGACGGTAGGAGGGATGGTGATTAGGAGTTTCTTGGCCTTGATGAGCTTGCGACCCGTGGCGGTGGCAACGACGGCCTTGACGCCATCATCAGCGCGCTTGGAGGCAACGACGGTGCTGGAGTACAAGACGTCGCTTCCGAGGAAAGCGCCGGCCTTGTCGTACACCTGCTGGTTGCCACCAGGGGCATACAGGTAACCGCTGGAGAGACCCAGAAGGTGGGGCTGGCCGAAGTTCTGCAGGACATACAGTGTTGGGGTCTCGAGAAGGTTGCCGACACCGTGGGCGAAGATCCAGACGACCTGGACGACCTCGGTCAAGTTGTACTTCTGAACGAACTGGCCAAAGGGCAGAAGAAGGTCCTCAGGGACGTTCTCGGGGATATCGTAGGCGCCCTCAGCCAAGAAGTCAAAGTTGAGAGTGGCGAAAAGGTAGTTCGCCAGGGGCCCGACAAGGGTGTTGGGGTCGACGGCCGTGGCATTGGGGACGACAAAGCCGGTCTTGAAGTCGACAATCTTGCTCGGGAAAGGAGACAGAGCGGAGGCGTTCAGCTGGACGTTGAAGCGCTCAAAGAACTGGGTCGTCTGGTCATTCTGGATGAATGCCTGCACGCCGTAATCGATGGGTGCGCCGGTCGCAGGGTCGCGGAAGGTGTTGACGTGACCTCCGAGCTTGTCGGCGCGCTCGACGACGGCGACGGTCTTGTTCTGGTCCCGGAGGCGGACGGCGGCGTAGGTTCCGGTAGCTCCACCTCCCACAATGAGAACGTCGCGCTGAATGATGTCCTCGGGCTTGAAGGCGGACTCGTCGTAGCAGCCGAGGCCGGAGGGGGCAGCACTAATTAATGTGGCGCTGAAAGCGCATAGCGACAAAAGGTGGGAACGCATTGTAAAGAGAAGTTGCGGAAAATGAATGACTAGGTGATCAAAGGAGTGACTTGAGATGTGCTTCTTTCCAAGACCGGCTTTATTAAGACGTGGCGACTATAGAGGCTATATATCCGTACATGCCGTATTTCAAGGCAAAAGGTGCCGACTGAGCCCAAGTGGTCCGGTAAAGTTGGAAGCCAAGGCCAATCACCAAGGAGAGTTTGACTCAAAGAGGTAATGAAGTCAAATTGATTAAAGGACCCGAACTCTGAACAACGGGGTCCACATCAACAGCCGCACGTCTTTTGGGTCCAAGGCCGGGCTCGGACTCTGTCGGAGCGATTGGTTACTACTGTCCTGTTCCTACCGACTTGATCGTCTTTCTCATGTTGTTTGCCCTGGGCGAGGTCCAGGCTGCATTACCGTCCTGTTGTCGTTTGTTCCTGAGTTGCAGCATGCTGGCCATTTTTGTGTGCTTCGAAGGCCCTACATGCCGGACCGTCCGGTGGATTACAACCTCCTTGAGCAGGGATTAGGTCAAGATGCGCTCTCTTAGAGTTTAACGCTTTGATTGACCAGGGCTGAGTGACAGCTAGAGAAAGAAATGCCAATTTACTAGTTCGCAACCAAAGTGGGCTGAGTAAAATGAGCCTGAACTCACTGTAAAAACCTTTGCATGCGCCCGCTGTGTCCGCCGGCCTCGCGAGCGCAATTCTCCGTCCGAGACAAGCTTTCACATCGTCACGTCAACTAATTATTGTGATTAATGGCGACAGCTCATTTCGAATATCTGATCTCAGGCGGTCGCTCTCGCATTGGATGCGTGATATTATTTGGTGAATTGTCGAGGTTCAAACCTCCCCACGCTACTTTCAGAGCCACTATCCACCGCCGGTTCAAGGCCCTTTCGCAAGGCGACGAACTGTTTTTGCTGCTGTTGATTCGCTACCAAGTCGAATCTTGTCTAATACCAGCCGTCAGTCTTAGAGCAAAAGGCAGCGACACTGAATAGCGACTCTACGCCATTTGCACCGTGCATGGCAACAGCGCCAACGATGAATAAGGTTCCAAGGAAATGCCGACACTGACTCGGTGCGATTTTCCAATGGCTAAGGCCCCCGAGATTTTCAGATCCCAATTCCACCCTTGAAGGATGATTTGACTCACAACCGTTGCGTTTACGCCCCGCCTCCCGCCTCGGGTTTTGGCAACGGCATGGGGTAAGTGACTTGAGGTAAGTGACTTGAGTACAAATTGTACGAGATATATCATTCGGAGCAACAGAGTCCAGAATCGCTTTTCAGAGGAGATTGTTTCGCCAAGAATTCGACAAGTTAATCAGAAATTTTGGTCCAGTAACGGAGCAATGGCGGACGGGTCACGGATAGCATGGAAGTGATTTGTACTTGAGGTGATCAACTCGTACTACGAAAAGTCTATTGTAGCTTTCATTTGCAACGAGACGATGTCTGCAGGGCCTAGTTTCTAACGCTGCTAACTATCAAATATCAAGAACCCTACTGCAATCATCTTCAGTCCGCTTTTTCACAACTTGAGCATATGTTACTTACTCATCTCGCGATTTGGAACACATTTCCTGACGTAAGATCAAAGCGAAGTGACCAACAGTCACTCATACAGCCTTTCCATCCGCAACAGGAACGAATCGCAAGAGGCACCGTTGTCCGTATGGCCGGGCGGAAATGATCTGGTCGTGAGACCGCATACTCTCAGGAGTGATGGAGGGATCCGGTACAGTAGAATACCGTTCATATATGCCGCGAAGTAAAATCTTCATCTCTGCCAATGCAAGGCTGTTTCGGTATTAGCATAATCTCGCATGTATAGTCCGTGGGAAGATAGTGGAAAGCCCTTACTGTTTTCCGACACAGCCTCTTCCACCGTGAGCAAAAGCAAACATGTGCCTCTTCCTCTCAGCCTCTCCAGTGGGAGACAACCAGCGTTCAGGGCTGAAGGTATCAGGATTGGGGAAGACTGCATCATTATTCCGATGAACCGAGTAGGCCTGGCTGCTCACGATGGTTCCCTCAGAGACAAAGTAGCCATCGACTGTCTTTCCCCCTGCTGGGACCACGCGGGGTAGCGACATCGGGATCGCCGGATAGCATCGGAGGCCTTCTTGAACCACGGCATCAAGATAAGAAAGCTTGTCAAAAGAGGCATCTGGGTTCTCTCGAATCTCCTGCTGGAGTCTCCGTTGAATCTCAAGAGATGCCGGCTGTGACAGTTCCCACATCAAGAAACACAGGGAATCGCCGGTTGTGTCGATGCCAGCTACCATGTGGTCCGTACATTCCGCCGCGATATCAGTGGCATCCATCTGGTTAACGCTGCTACCGCTTTCCCTCTTGTCTTGCAGGCGGCTCAAAAGGGTGAAGGGCGCGGGATCGATTTTGGAGGTAGCACCAACAACGAAGTCCTTAGCAAGGGGCGTGCTTCGTGGATCGAAGAAGAGGTCAAGAATCTTAGAGAAGTACTGGTAGAAGACGGGGTAATGATGCTGGATAAGGCGGTCTGGTTGGTAAGTTGAAGGTTAGCAAGCACCCACTGCACATCAATTCGGGCAACCTCACTTCGTAGACTATCGTCCGTCGTAACTTGCTCCATCATGTCCGTGTCTCCCTGTTTCTGGAGACTATTGGTTCCATAAGGGTGGAACAAGTGATGGGTCACGCAGTCACAAGCGTAAGAGTGAAGCTTGACCTGGTGATCAAGGACAATAGTGTCAGTGTTGTTGATACAGGACTCGCCGCCACTTCTTCGTGCCTGAATATTTGAACTTACGTAGACATTCACACTTCTACTTGCTGCATCCGCACACTGCCTGACAAACTCTTCCGCACGCTTCTCAATACCGCTCAGCGCTATGGGCTTCGCCACATTGCTATTAGCATAGCGATCGGCAATGATACGCTTGCGCTTCGCGTGCTAAATAAAAGTTAGATCTTCTGTCTCAGACAAGTAATTGAGCTAGGTAACTTACATCGCCCTTCACAAGGGTTGAAAACATGGTTCTGAATCACGAGCACAAAACTCACAATCAGCATCATCTCAAGATTTTCCATGTAATATCGGCACTTACCTGCGTCCGAAAACCTTGAAGAGGTCGTAGAAACGATGCTTGTCATATCCACTTCCCAGTGATCCGTAAATCTCTTTGACGGCCTCATAAGACGTATATGAAACTTCGTCGGGCGCAATTCTCACGACCGGGCCATATTTCAAGTGCAATGAGTGAATGTACAACGTTCGATTGGCGTCGAACTCGTGCCATCTCAGGACGATTGGGGTGACTTTGGAAAGTGCTGGTCCCGGAATTCTCCATAATGGGGATGAGTAGCAGCGTGCCAGGTAGAACACCAACAGGACTGCAAGGATGGCTGCCGCAAAAAGCGGGTTCAATAACATGATGCAAGTCGTCTCTGCTGGTAGCACTGCCTTGCTGTGAAATGTGAAGTATCAATCACGCCAATTGGTGAGGGTTGGAAATGGTGCTGAACATAAATACCCCGTAACACTGTTTTGCCGCGGGGTTGGCTGGGGAAGAACGGTAAAATCGGGGGAGATAAGGACGGAAAGAGACGAATCAAATTCCCTCCAAATCAAACAGGATCTTTGTTGTTGAGTCATGGGCGGTTTACCCCGCCTATCTAGTTCGGTTCCGTTCCCCTAATGTTAAGAATTGGCGAATTCCGGATAGGCGGTCTTGTCTTGTGGATATGAAAATAACGCCAGCTCCGGGTTCGGCCCCGCATCATGATCGCTAATGTAAAGAAGACCCGAAGGTACGGATCAGCCGAGACCCCCGGCCACAAAACCAACCTCCGTGTCAACCCGTATTTTCCCCTAATGTTAGGCGTAACCGTGATTCCTTGAAAAATCCATTATCCATGAGTTTTGCACCTCCAATCAGCCAGGTCATGGTTACAACCGACGGAGGACTTTCCTCCCACACTAGTCCACTTCGAGGCAAGGAGACGCATATTGTGCAGGAACGATTCAATTGTGGCCTTTTCAAGGCTGCTCTTATTGTATTGCTACCTTCATCTAGTGTGGAGCCGAGATCTCATACTTGAGGCTTGGGGTAGGCTGCTTGTGTCTCCGTCTCTCGGTTAATGCCAAAGTTCTTCCAGTACCGATAGTCCTTGATGGACACGACTGATGTCTGGAAGGCAAGTACACTAGCGCGAATATGTTAGCATCTGGATTTCAAATAGAACTAGGCCGGTAATTGAGTAGAGGCAAAGAAACCTACATCAGCACCATGACGATGAGAGTCACGATCCAGCTGATGGCACAGCTACCACCCGTGCAGAATCTTCCGTTCGCCTGGCACAACAGGCCAAAGGCGACGAACCAAAACACAATCTCCATGGTATTGAGGATAGCGTTGGCTTTGAGTGAAGCCCACTTCTTGAAGCGTTCCTTGTGAGTCGTCAGGAGTTGGTAGCCGATAATGATGAGAGACTTGAAGCCCTGTATCCAGCCGTCCAAGGTCAGCCCCGATCCTCGACAATAACATTTGCGACATGGAAGTATCGCAAACTTTTCCCAGCATCGAAGAACGTACCATTGTAAGAGCCATAATGTTGCCGCGAGTGAAGGGAACCGGCATAGCCATGCGCCAGATGGTGAGGATGATGGCCAGTACCATCAAGGCGACCTGGGCGATGTGGATTTTGGTCTTGTATCTGGCATCGAAAACCCGACCGTCAAAGAAGTCGCGAATACCCATAATGACGAGAATTGTTGATCTTGTGTTTGCGGAGTAAAATCTTCGTGCTGACCCGGTGGTTTTGATGGATTGGATTTCGGGTTGTCTGTAATAGGTCGATGAATGCTTTTGTAGGTCTGATGGGGCAGTCAAATTGGGAATTTCGCACAAGATTTGAGGTTGAACAGTTTCTTTATGTATGTTCATCAACTTTTGTTTACATGTATTCGTTATGGCTCGGCAACTGCCTTTTTGCATATACGCGGAGTTTAGTGAGGACGTATACGCGTATAAGGTTCGAACACCAACTGCATCGCCACAACGACTCGAGACAATGGCTAAAGGACTCCACACCCCAGATTCTATATCGAGTCTTACAGGTGAGATTAAAGCCGGCTAACTAAAGGGCGGTTAACCGTAACACCCATAATTAAAGTTGCCGCGTGGCATGCATGACCCGATTGCTTGGCTCAAGGCTTTAAGTAGTCGCATAGATTCCAGATCGCTGATCAAGGGTTTAGGGGTTTCCTCGGCGCTACGTATGCTACGGCGTAGAGAGCGTACGCGATGATTTGTGTACGCGTTTATCTTAGATCTTGCTCTGGGGCCGTGCTCGCCTGGGCAGGCGCGTTGTTACCCAATTGCCAGTCACTTGCTCGTATAATTAGATGGAATTTGAAACCGCCGTACGCGTTGCCTGTGCAGCTGTTGACAATTGGCGCAACGAAGCTGACAAAGGCGTTCTGCGTATTCAAATTTGAGTCGGTAATCGGTTCAGTGATAACAGCCGTCTTAGATCTAAAAGCAGTATTTGAAGAACATCCGAGGATAAACATATTCGCTCAACAACAGCGTTGTCTACACTCAGCTTACTAGGTAGGCAAAGGCTGAGTCGCGGCTCGTCCCTTCACTTGATCCCTCCACCAAGGAGGATTCTATTTAGTTCGTCGCCTTGATCGTTCCCGAAGATTTCTTGCTTTGGGGCTTTTGAGAGTGACAAGGTTCTTGTCCCTCATAGTGCACGACACTGGCAAGATGGCACTACACAGCTCACGGGTGCTGGCCTGCCAACCAGAGGAAAATGGAGGGGGTTCGATCTCAAAGTTGCATCCCTCGATCTCGGGAATATTACGTGCCATATTGATAACAGAGCTGGATTCAGTTGTCGTAAAACTTCATGCTGAAGTCTCCTTGGTGGCTTGAGAAACTTTGGCTCTGCCCCAGGGCATAGTTATGAATGACGAAACTGTGTTGGCTGGCACGATAGCAGATCGCAGGCTGTTCTCCGCGTGCCTTAGTTCTCATGAACTTACTGCTAGTATTCAATGCCTGATGCATGTGCACTTTGACAATACCCAAATGTCGGGCCGGATCCCTGCTCACTGCGCCCAGTAAAGTTGACTGTGACAAATTGATAGTGCCAGAACCTCACGCGCCATGGAACCGACGATGACGAAGTGGAAGAATTGAGGAAGTTAAAACCCGAAGTCTTGTTCCTGAGAAAGACGCAAAATTTTGGGGCTCTGCAAATCCCTTTATCAGGTCAAGCTTACGTAGAGAACCATCGATGCATAGCAAAACTATTGTACGTTGCGGGGCGTTAAGACGGCCTCCGTGAAAGCCGGCGCCGGCGCCGCAGTGCCGTCTTACCGCATTTCAGGGCATCAGCACACATCGGAAGCTCCGGGATACGGCTAGTATGTTCGCGCGAATAGACAATCACCCTGTTATCAAAAAAGCTTAAATCCCATGACTATTTCCCGAGGGCTTCGCAGAGGGCAAAGCTCGCCGCGAAATGGGCCGGTAATTACCTTCATCGCTATATTAACAGCAGACTTTTGACAACACTGGTGAACCTTGTGAAGCCGGTATCCCTGTAGTACACGTCCACCACGCCCGTCAGAACGCGTTATTAAAAAAAAAAAAGTCAAGCATGCTAATCGCAAGATATAATTGCGCACTTCAATCGGCCCATGGCCGACCTCGCACAGTTGTCGCTATGGCAAAATCTAAGCGGTGATAAGTGTCTGGTAGAAGTGAACACTCCTTCCGCAAAATCAGCCAGACCCGACGAACATTCCCCAAGACATGGCTTCGCTGCCACTCGAGCTCGTGGAGCAAATCTGCTCATTACTTTGCTTCCATTGTCAACACCCAGACACTTTCCCCGATGCCGGAAGCGACGATTATCGACTCAGCAAAAGGGCACTATCGCGACTTTGCCGCGTTTCCAGACGATTTTGCGCCGTTGCTCAGCCGTTCCTTTTCCACGACTACGCCACAGGCGGATTACTTCAAAGGCATGAAAGCGGTATTGTAGCACAATCTGGCAAGCCCTCACAATACGACGAATACGACGACAAGCTGCCCGTCTTCCTGCGCAGCATTATACAGCGCCCGGATCTGGCATCGCACATTAGAACGCTCCAGCTGGTAGAGAACGACGTGATCAGTGGGTGCACGCCGGAAGTAGCTCCCCTCCTCATCAAAGCGACCGAAGACGCTGGTGCGCTACGGCACGCTCCAAGTAGAGGCTATCTCCAAACGAAGATATGGAGTGGGTTCTTCGGTCAGCCAGAGGCATTGTTGCGAATCCAGCGGCGGAAGATTCACCATTGGCTTGAGGAGTTGGCGATTCTGCTATCGTCAAATGTCGCTATGCTTCTCACAGCCCGGGACAGCTTTGTGGATTATGAGCATATCAGGGACAGTCGGGCTTCCTTCCCTGCAGTCCGAACGATTGCTCTTAGGGGTGTCAAGAAGAACCATCATATTTACGAAGCCTCTGCACTCTTCGCCGCGGCGCCGAGTCTCGAGAACCTAGAATCAATGCAGTGCAGTCTCTTCGACGGTCAGAGTCCTTGGACTCTTGTCAAGCCTTGGACACTGAAGTTGGGTAATGTGCGGAGATTATCGCTGAGCGAGATAGGGTTCGAGGATCTCCATCTGCTGGTGAAGTGCTGCCCGAATTTGGAGGAGCTGGCAGTCACGGCAATAGAAATCTACCGCAACTCGGGATTCGACTATTGGGATGTGTCAAAATTGCTTCAGACTCTTGACCCGATTCGCCATAATTTACGAAAATTGCGCCTTTCTCACGAGTCTAGACGATCGCGCAGGGAAGATCCCCGGCCAATCACTTCTGGTGGAATAGTCTGGTCCTTTCGCGGCTTCGAAAATCTAGAAGAGCTTGCATTTGATCAAGCGGCGATCGACATTAGTCCGCGAGCAGCTCCCGTGGAAGATGGCATGGGCTTGTACACCAAATGGAGCTTAGCTGAACTCTTGCCAGCGTCGGTTCGACAGGTTGAGATCTTGCATGCCGATCAAAACTGCAAGGAGAAGCTCAGGCAGCTTGCCGAAGAATGTGCCTCCGCGTTACCCAGTCTGAAGGTTGTTCAGGTCAACTTTGACAAGTCCACGGACGAAAGCGACATTGATCCGGAGTGCATAGACGTCATGAACGTGTATTTCTAATCGCCAGTTATCAAAAATGATGTGGGTTATAGGCAACCTCGAGAAGGATGGCGTGACGTTGATTAAGGGCGACGTGGCTTGAATCAGGGTCGATCCCTGATTCGACCGGACATTTGCACGAGGAATGACAGTAGAGTATTGACGAAGTTAAACTAATAGATAGATTATAGAAACGAGAGCATTGCATAGCATTTTCGGTCTGAACGCAGATTGGATGAAGAAGCCGGACACCCTTGACGCCTGGCACATAAAATTGAATATTATAGACAAAATTGGTCATCACAACTATGCCAGAACCCAGGCGATAGATCAGGTGTAGTCCGAAAGGCCTCGGCGAGGACAGTTCAACTGTCGAGGATAAGACATTTGGCCGACCATGATGCGCTCGTCTCCTAGCAAGCATGTAGAGCAAGCGAGGTCGGTAATACCTTGAACGACAGTCAAGCTCCGAAGCGGTTTAACAGTCCTGGGACCGTGGCCCGGAACCTCGATCTCGGTATGTAGCTGGCACAAACAATAGCGGGCCGGATACGCAAGTCAAAGACATGGACTGAGACGGAGCGAACGCTTCAAGCGACCAGAGATTACACCGATCGCGTATGCGTTGCAAGTGATGCTTGTTAAACCTCGCCGTGCAAACCGCATCCAAGGGCTACAACAGACGACCGAGCGTTCCACACGCACATTCAAGTGCGGCCGCCATTGCCTCATTGGATCGTTTGTTTGCTCGTCAGTCAAAAACAACGACGGGCATGCCGGCAGCCGGGGTTGATGTCGTTGTCGATGCTGATATCCCTCATTGGTTTCTCGTCAAATGCCCGCAATGAGCCGAGTTCTGGAACAGTCTCGTCGCCGAATACATTGCTCGATCATGTCTCAGATCAGCCGCAATAAGTGGACGGAGGATAGATACGGCGGTGGTTCTGAGAGGTGCGCCTGCAAAGCACTGCAGCGACAGCAGCCACTTGTTTCGAAACGCCTCTGGCTGATTCCTCGCATGGTGTCAACGGCTTTATGGACAGGGGGACGGGTTGAGCTAGAGCTAAATAGGGGCGAGAGAGCGAAAGGCCAGCTTCGAAAGTAGAGATGTAGACGACCTGGAATTTGTTGAAAACTTTGTGGCGGCGCCAATGGTGTCTTTGACTCCCGAGATATCCCTAGTCTGGTACTGAGGTAGTACCGGCCGCCGACGACAGCACCTCGGAGTAAAGGCAACGTTGATTTGCTGGTGAAGATACCCTGAGGCCGAGTCGGTCCACGGCAGAGGGCTTGTCGACGTTGATGGCATGAAGTTGGTGCAACGAGACGACGTAGAGACTCGTGGCAGAGCGCAAGGGCCGGGAAAGCGGTTGCATGTTGAAAGTACGACGCAAACATTCGAGGTATGTGCCTCGATCGAGGTGTCATGTCTCGCGGCCTTGTTTGGGGGAGACTGCATAGAGTAAATGTCGAGTACCATGCCCCACACGGGAAGATAAGGACAGGGCGAGGCAAGATCGTCTCAATATGAGCACTGAGTGGACTGAATGCATGAACATGTTCGCATCGCATTTGTGTCAAAAGGAAACGTAGCGCCGATCCCATCTCTGTAGCAGAAGCGCGTGTCGTGGTGTTATGGTGTTGTGGATGTAACCTCCCATCGATCTCGAGCCACGTGCGTCACCGTGTCTATAGTCATGCTCCCTTGTCTTTTTGTAGAAATAAGAGACCTGCTATGATGAGAGGTTGGATCGCCGAGTTGACGATCACTGATGCGAGGAGCGCGAGCCTGGCCGCCTTCTCCATTGATAGCGTGATAACAGGCAAGGCGAGGGGTAGGTCCTTGTCAAGGAGGCATAGGATGCCGATGGAACAAACGAGACGCCAGCAATTATTAGAAACCTTGAAGAGGATATGGCGACAGTTGTCGCACAACGGGGTGGCACATTGAGGAACAGTCGAACCCAAGTCGGAGACCCAAACGACCCAAGGCGGGTTGACAGAGCGGCAGGAATGCATTTCGGTCCCGCGAAGGCAGCGAGGGTTCTCCCGGTCGCAACCAAAACTCTGGAAACTGTTCCAATGGTTGGACAATCTGGGGTGTCGAGTCTGTGGTGCGACTAAATCTGACAAGTGACAAGAGATGGGCGAGCGTAACTGTGGTCCTTGATTACTTGGAGGACTCCCTCCGTGATGCTAAGCCTCACCGCCGAATGAGAACTTGGGGGGCTCCGTCTGGCCACCTACATCTAACGGCTTCGCTAGAACCTGTCCGTGTTGGTTTCGTGCGGCGTAGTGTCTCGCTTCCTGACGGGCCATTCGAAAATGCCGAGGGAGAACAGTGGGAGAATTCGAGACAATCCAATGTCAAGGTCCGAATGGAGAAGTCAAAGAGAAAGTGACCTTTGTGCAAAGCAACATGGACGGAGTTGTTGAAGCGGAGGAGCCATCCCTTACCTTACATTAGTCATCACCCGAGTGATGACTAATGCGCAATTTTTGCACGTGACCACACCCATCGGCGCGGCGGTACGTACTCGTCTCCCGGAAATGGACGCAGAGCAAACGGAGGAAGTCGCGCGGTGCCGTTGACATCCATCAAACTGCACGTCAATAACCTTTGATCAATCTATCGGGCACTTGCATTCAACAGTTCAACGTCAGGCTGGATGTGTCAAGTGAGCGGCATCTAAGACCCTCGAAATGATTGCAGCATCGTGCAGAAGACGCAGCCTGCCACCCTTTCTCACCACTTGAGGCCCCTCGTTGTACGACTTGGAGATGCCCTCGCCCATCCCACCACATCACTGAGCAATTGTCTTAAACCCTGACCCGTCTCGTCTCTCTTGGATGACCCTTACCGAAGCCGTCTCCTCTGGTCCAACCTTCATCCGCCAACATCCAATGGCTCGGAGTTTACTAGGAACCCGCCGATGACGCTCTCTACCCGTCTCTGGCCTTGGAGCCTCCCGTCTTTCGCCATTCCGTGTGGGTGTCGCGTCCTTCCGCTGCCCTTACTGCCTAGTCTTAAGTGCGACGGGGGTTATGATAATCTACTACCCCAGTCCAAGTACCGTGTGCATGCTCAGTGCCGGCGCTTGCTAACTTGCCTTGTCGGCCAACGTCCACTTACTGTATCTTGTGCTAGTTCATCATCATCATCATCATCCCGACTACGCCACCAGGTATGGCTCCAGCTTACACAGCACACCGTTCGGCGCATGGAGGAAGAGTCCCCAAGACACCTGAGACAACGTCTGGCCCCCTCCCAGGGTACCATCTCTCGTACAACACCAAGAGACCGATCCTTGGCGTCCGCTTCCCGTTCAACAGCCAGAGTCAGAGTCAGCGCTACCTCACCTTCTGCACTCCTCCCCTTACCGGAAGCAAGCCGGTGTGACATGGGAGCCCAGACAAGTGTCTCGGGGACTTGCGCTCTCTACTATGCCAGCGCGACCATCACCGTCTGCTTCCGACCCCAGCATCCACGTCCTCGGCAAGGCCATGGGCTTGGTCGGAAGTGCCAGCGAGGACTGACACGTTCAACACACGCAACTTGATCTATATAGAATCCGTGATCTTCTCCCATACAATACCCTTGTTTCTCAGTCTCCCCATCAGGATAAACAAACAAGATCAACAGAGTAGCGTTGCCATTTCATCTGCCTCCCGCATCGTGTCACTGCTCCATCCCGAGTACCCGACTCTACTTCACTGGCACTTGTAGACCTACTCAACCCTCTCTACAGTATTCGACAATCTCGTCGTCGTCGCCAACATGTTCGACGCTCAGAAGGCCGCGGTGCCGTCCTTCATGGCTCCTCCGACATTCCTGCAGTCAAGAGCGTCAACCCTAACACCAAGCGACTCGAGCTCAAACTACGATGAGATGGAAAAGGACATTGCGAGCTCTGCCGCGTCGTTTCAAGATATACGAATCGACCCTATCCTGCTCCCTCCTGTCCCGTATAGCGAGCTATCAAGGATACCTTCCATCAAGTCAGAACAAGCCGAGATCGTAAATAACGAAGATGATCTTGAATATCCCAAGGGAATGAAGCTGGCTTTGATCGTCATGGCATTGTGTTTCAGTGTGTTTTTGATGGCTCTTGGTAAGGAACACCCTCCCCCAAATTCCACACCCATTCAACAGGGTAGGGCCACAGCTGACCACAGCCACCACCTAGACAACTCCATCATAGCCACCGCCATCCCACGTATCACGGATGAGTTCAAGAGCTTGAACGACGTCGGCTGGTACGGCAGTGCCTACCTCCTAACAACAGCCTCTCTCCAGCTGCTATTTGGCAAGTTTTACAGCTTTTTCAGCATCAAGTGGGTGTACCTCATCACCATCGCCATCTTCGAGCTGGGCAGCTTGATCTGCGGCGTCGCGCCCAACAGTATCGCTCTGATTATTGGCCGCGCCATCGCGGGAGTCGGGTCAGCGGGCATTTTTGCCGGGGCACTCATCATCCTCGCCTATAGCGTGCCCCTCGAGAAGCGTCCCATCTACACTGGTGCCGTCGGTAGCATGTGGGGCATCTCGTCCGTCGCCGGTCCTTTGTTAGGTGGTGTCTTTACGGATAGTCTCACGTGGCGGTGGTGTTTCTACATTAACCTGCCCATTGTAGGTTGATTTCGACTCCTTGTCGTCGATGCCACTGTGCTAACGCTCAGACAGGGAGCCGTCACCATCTTTGTTATTCTCTTCTTCTTCCCTGACCCCGTCCGCTCCATTCCCCAAGAGACATGGCGAACGCGCTTCATCCAGATGGACCCTCTCGGAAACATGCTTTTCATGCCGGCCATCATCTGTCTCCTTCTTGCCCTTCACTGGGGTGGCGTCACATACCCCTGGGCGTCTGCCCGCGTCATCGTCCTCTTCCTGATTTTCGGCTTCGGCATGGCGGGCTTCCTCTACTTGCAGTACCTCGGCCAGGAAAACGCCACGGTTCCGCCGCGCATCTTTAAGCAGCGCTCAGTCTGGTCATCCTCCTTCTTCGCCTTCAACACCGGCGCCGCATTTCTTTTGTCCGTCTACTTCCTGCCCATCTGGTTCCAGTCCGTTCAGGGTGTCTCCGCCGTCAACTCGGGAGTCAGGAACTTGCCTATGCTGGTTAGCAACATCATTGCTTCACTCGTTGCCGGTGCCGCTGTCACTATCTGGGGCTTATACACCCCGTGGATGATTCTCGGCTCGATTCTTATGGGAATTGGATATGGCCTCATTTCCACCTTCAACCCAAACACATCCTCCGCGATGTGGATCGGCTACCAAATTCTCGCCGGTGCCGGAGTCGGCGCCGCTATGCAGCAGCCTCTGATGGCTGTGCAGGTGGTCCTCGACATGGCCGACGTACCCACGGGAACCGCCATCATCATCTTCACACAAACGGTTGGCGGCGCCATCTTTGTCGCCATCGGCCAGACTGTCTTTACGAACAAGCTCGTGGAGAGCCTGGTCGAGTACATCCCGACCATTGACCCCCACTCCGTCATCGCCGCTGGTGTGACGGCCATCCGCAAGACCATCGATCCGTCTCTGCTGCCCGCGGTAGAGCACGCCTACAGTGACGCGCTAGCACAGGCGTTCCTAGTGAGTGCTGTGACGGCCTCTGCGACCATCATTGGCTCCGTGTTTGTGGAGTGGAAGAGTGTCAAGGGCAAGGATGTCCACGTCGGCATGGCGTAGTCGAGGCCCGGAGATGTAGTCGAGCTTCTCGGCGATTTCATTCCTTTGGCTCGGGGCTTTCGCGACCAGAGCTCATCATTTCCCTATGTTCCTTGGCGTGAATTTAGAATGTAAGTTATGAATCGGAAGGCGTTACGGGTTAGGAGCATTTGCTTGGTCTGATCGGGACTGAATAGTCATATTGGTGGGGAACGTCCGTCTACTCAGGATAGCATTGCGCATCTTTTGGAGAATCCTCCGATTGAATGCGGAAGAAGAATAAAAATAGATTAAATGTCAGTCATCATCTGCGATCCCACGTGGTGAAAACCGTCCCGCGCAAGCCGTAAGCACCTTAATCTAGGCCAAGCATTTTTTTTTCTTTGATCTGCATGCTGTCAACTACACTACGACGCACATCTTCTCAACTAATTGCCATCCGCAACGCGGATAACCATCTTCTTGGCGCGGACGATGCCATTCTTCAACCCATCGAGAGCAGTCTTGACGCCCTCGAGGCCCTTGACAACCTCATACGGGTGAGACTTCATCCACCCTGTCCTCAGCGCCTCGGCAAACACCCGCGCCCAGATCAACCCAAACAGCCTGCCCTGGCCCTCCTCCTCGTGCACGAACCCGACACTCGTGACAACGACCTCGACGGTAGGATCAACGTCGCTAAAGTCGTTACCGGGCAATACTGTCGTGATTCTGGGCTTGAACCCCGTGCCCTCCTCGGGCGGGCCGGCGATGGCCTTGCTGAGCATCTGGAACGATCCCTTCTCGCTGACCGTGTCAAACACCTTGAACGACCGCTGTCCGGTCGCCTTGATCACCTCCCTCAGCTTCTCGGCCAACTTATCCTGCGAATCGAACTGCGTGTAATCCAAGAAGACGTCGCCCTTGCCTTCCTCCAGGAGAGGCGTGACGAAAGCGCTGTTCTTGCTTCCGATGGCGATGAGGGGATGCACGCCCGCCTTCTTGGCAAGCTTAATACCAAACGCCCCAATCGCTGTGCTGGCGCCGTAGATCACAACAGGCGCCTTGGTCTCCCTCTTCCGGTCCCAGGGTGAGGGTATCTCGAGCGAGTGGAACAGTGCAACGGCAGCGGTATACGCCGCCAGCGGCACCGTCGCGGCCTCCTCGTAGGACACGCTGGCGGGGAGGTGGAAGGCGGTGTAGGCGGGGACGATGGCGTACTCTGCGAAGCTGCCGTTGGCGGTGCGCATGATGTGGAACCCGGCGACGCGGTCGCCCTTTTCGAACTCGTAGACCTCGGCGCCGACCTTCTCGACTGTGCCGGCTACGTCATCGCCCGAGTTGGAGGCGGCTTGGAACCAAAAGGGGAGTTTCCAGTCCTTTGGGTTTGTGCCGGAGACGATGACTTTGACGAGAAGCTCGCCTGGGCCCGGTTCGGGGATGGGGGAGTCCTTGATATCGACGGAGAGGTCTGCGTTGACGATGGCTTCTTTCATGGTGGGTGGTGATGTGCTTGCTGATGCTTGGGTGGTGGAGTAAGTAATTAGGTACGCCTCTTCTTCGGATGAGACTTGGCTATCTTTAAATTTTAGTAGACTGTCGAGGTGAAGAATGGTTCTGCAATGTATAAGAGTTGAAGCTCTAATGCTCAGGCCAGTGACGTCAAGACTTCCGAGGCCTGAAGCTCTTCTTTATACTCCTAGATTACATGCATCCAGTCTCCATCCCGAATACGTGCCCAAAAAGAGGATACCTCACTCCTCCTAACTCCATACTACACGGCATTAGGTTCCATTGCTCTCTCGGACAAGGGAGCACCCGCTACAACCACTTGGTCCCCCTCCTCAACATCTCCAATACTCTTCCAATCAAACACGGGGCCTCTCTTCGGCGCGAAGGGAAACGCAGGTCCGGGCGAGCCGCTTCCAAAGGGCCCCGCCCGGGTCCCCGCCCCGTGTGTGGTGATCGCACCCACAGTCCATCACATCAGATGAGGGGCAGAGCATGGGCTTCAGGCGGATTACAAATCCAATGTCTAGCAATGTTGCACCCACTAGGTGAGTGGTGAAAGTCCGCTGCCCAAACTCCGCTACTTTAGTCATCTATCGTTATGAAGTCGGAGAGTTGAGACAAATCTCGGTCTCGCTTTCTAGTGAACGCATCATCATTTACCAGGAATTCGATATGTATCAGTTGAGGCTAGTTCAGCCATTGGAAATCCAGAATTCTCTGACGCCCTAGAGTCCTGGCGCCCTAATGCTAATTGTCTTTAGTACTAAGTCATTGGTAGTGTTATGCCTGGCACCTGATCTAATCTGGCAACAACAACAACAACTCAGTATTACCGTATTTCTACATGCACTCAGGGTCTGTTTGTAAACCAATTAAACTACAATATCGTAGATACCGGAGTTATTACTGGGGCTTGAGTCTTATCATGTACAACCACATCAATCAGCACGGACTTTTTATTCGGTCCAACAGGACTCCTGGCATTATTGTTTAACCGCAGCATAGAGATATAATCTTGCGGTACGGGACCTTTCTGACTCTGACAGGCGTCAGGAACAATGGTAGTATCAAACAATTCACTAGTTATATGCCCTTAATATTTCTGAAAAGACATGGAAGCTAAACACAACTCCCGGGAGCCTCTTCAAACGGCTCAAGATCAATCTTTGCCCACCTACAATCCAGGTCCATCCCCAACTCTAGCATACATGTCTTCAATATCATCCTGATACAACTTGAGAACCGCCACCCTCTGGACATTGCCCTTCCCAGCAATGGGGAACGGCTTTTCCTTTCGACTAAACAAAATCCTCTCCTTGGCCAATTGACCAGCCGCATCCAAGATCTCGTTACCCTTCTGCACCATGGGCCAGATACTATCCAGCATTTCCTCTTCCGACGTCCCTTGACCGTCATCAACAAGGTCAATAACAGCACATATATGCCGCCTCCCCGTCCCACCGACAACAACATGCTTCACTGCCGGATGTTGCGCAATCTCCCTCTCCAACAGCATGGGATTCACATTCCACCCAAACTTGGTCACCACAATATCGTCCCTCCTTGAGTAAAACTTCCAATGGTGCGCCTTGGTAGGATGCTTCACAAACAAATCGTTGCTCCGAAAGACGCCGTCGACGACGTTGCTGTGCCAGAAGACGTGCTGCTGCTTCTCCACCCTGGGGTTCCTCACAAACGTCATCTCGTAAACCTGTTCTTGCGGCTCACCTTCGGAGGACCCCTTGACTTCGCAAGGCTCCCAGACGATCCCGCTCTCTTCGTCGTTGAGGCAGAACCAGTCCCAGTCCTCGCGGTCCGTCTCGTGGCCCAGTGCAGCGCCGGCCTCGGTGGACCCGATGAGCTGGTCGAGCTTTGTACGGGCCGAGAGCGCCTCGCCAGCGGGTTTGCTGAGCGCGCCACCCGCGTAAAAGATGAATTTCAGTTTCTTTTCGACGGAGGCGAGGCACAGGGGGGATTTCGCCACCATTTCTAGGTAGATCGGTACTCCCGCCAAGCAGTCGAAGTCGCCGTGCTCAAACATGAGTTCGAGCGTCGACGGCGGTATGGGACCGAGTGTGTTGGGACCCAAGACAAGAACCTTCTTCCGGTAGAGCGGGTCGGTGACGGCGGAGAAGAAGCCAAAGGGGTGGAAGATGGGCATGGTCTGGTAGCAACGCTTCCCCTTCAAGAGGACTTTGTGATAGGATTGTCGGCCATCGAGATCTGGGAGGAAGCGCCAGATGGTATCGACGACGACAAAGGACCTCTGCGTCCAGGTGACGGGTTTGGGCAACCCCGTCGTGCCTGAGGTGTGTCCCACGGCGGCCGGGTCGTCAATGCCCTCCTCGTACGTCCTCGTATAAGGGTACGGCTTCACATGGCCATTGTCGTCAAGAAGACTATCTAGAGATGGTGCGGGAAAGGTCTTCATCGGTCTCGCCGCCAACAGCGGATCAACCATGGCGTCTACGCCCTCGCTCCGCATTACATTGTGACAATCCTTTTTCTCGCAGAGGCTCAAGTTATAAATTAGGCTGTTGAAGTGGGAACACAGCAGGATCTGGTGGCCCGTCTTCATGGCGGCGATGATGTTGACTGCATATCTGATGTCGGGCAGGCCAAAGTAGAGCAACGTCTCGAATGTTGTGCTCTTTCCGATGTTAGCTTCAATGTGCCACGCTACTCGGTCGACCGCTCTTGACAGCTGACGAACGCTGACATCGCGGAACCCGTCGTTGGCGATGTCCTTGCTGATGGCGTATGAAGCCCAGATGCGCTCTGGGTCCTGAGCCGCCTGCTCGGCCACGACATGTGGGATGAGGCGGTGTGTAGTTTCGTCTGCCATCGTCATAGATCTGTTATGACAGCCGATTTTGATAGAATGAACTCAGACCAGCATATGGGTGCAAGAAGCATGCCAAGAAGATGCCAAGTGGAAATCTACATACCCAGCGTGGCTTGTCTTCTTTATACATCGTGAATCCCATGTGGAGAAAGAAGCCGTCGTCACGGATCTCAATCCTTCTAGCCCACATTCCTCTCACGTCAGCTAGGCGGTGCATTAGTCCACTAATTAATCAAAACTTGGGGCAGTTAGGAACTTTGGAAGACAAAGCCGATTTCTGGGGTTAGCCTGCCAATGCAGTGGTCGTAAGCTTAGTTTCGTTTAGCGGCCGGTAACGTCCAGATTGGACGGGGCTCCGAAAGATCGTCACAAAGTCTGACATGATGAAAACGTGGATAGGTCAGGACTGGTCGGGGACTTTGACATAAATGAGCCGCAATAGCCGCTTACTAGAGCCGATGTCACCTGTTGCACTAACACCCCAAAACCTCGAGGTCGTACGGAGTGAGTTGTTCAGTCATCGTTGAGGAGCATTTACGACTTTCCTCGATAGTATCTACAAGACTCAGATGTGACTCTGGAAAAAGTCCACGTAGTCAAAAAAGCTCCTCTTCACCCACCTCGCCAACCCGGGATCCGACCGATTCACACCCATCATGCCATACTGCGCCTCAAAGCTCCCAAACTCATTATTATCAATCCAGCTCCACGCCAGCGCCCCAATAACATTCACACCGTCCTCGTGAATAGCCCTCAAGGTCTCGGTCAAGAAATTCTGATAGTACATTGTCCTCTCGAAATCATACCGCTGCGCATCGTGCGACGTCTCCGCGTCCGCCAGCTGCGGAAACCCAAACTCGGTGACCATGATGCCCGACGGCCGGTACGTGTTCCATACGAAGCCGAATTGCTCTCTCACGTACGAGGGGGCGATGAGGGCGCCGCCTTCGGAGATTGCACCCATTGCCCAGCCGTTGGCTTGGATCGTGGTGAGCGTCACGCACGAGGGCCAGAGGGGGTCTGAGGAGTTGGCCGCGCAGGCTTCGTAGCCGCCTGGTGGGTTCGTCGCGTATTGGGCGCCGTAGGGATCAAAGGCCCAGTAGTCCATGGTGCCGTTGATGTGCGTGAGTTGTTCGTCGGTCAGTGACTTTGTAAGGGTAGTGTTCATCTTGGGCGTGTTGAGGACGACTTCAGGGAACTGTTCTCCCAAGAAGAGGGGGTTGCTCATGATGCCGAGAATGAAGTCCTGGTAGCGGTAGGAGGCTGCGACGTCGTCCAGGTTGCCCGGGTCTAGAGGGACAGCGAGATTGTTTGCGAACTTCATGGTGATCTTGCCCGTGTCTCCGAGAACGTCCTTGTACCAGCGGTAGACATCCGCGTGGGCAAGGAGGAACGCCGTCAATCCGTCGTAGCTGGGCAGGGTGAACTGCACGGCAATGTTTGGCTCGTTGAAAGTGACCCAGTACGGCACTCTATCCGCATACCGCGCCATGACTTGCTTGGCATAGTAGGCGTAGTGATTTGGAAACTCGTCAAGATCGTCAAAGATGCCAACCGGGTTGTCAATGTGCATCAACGTTGCGATTGGGGTGATACCGTACTCTATACAAGTATTGATCACGTCGTCGTAGTGGTCCAACGCCTGCTGGTTGACTGGCGAACCCGCCCTGCCAAACGGCACGACACGAGTCCAGGAGATGGAGAAGGAGAAGTACGGCACACCGAGAGCCGCGAGCCTTGCAATATCCTGCTTGTACAGGAAGTAGTGCATGTCTGCAACATTCGAGTCATTAGTACCGAGCAGTCCCTGACCGTTGACACCAACAACGTCGAGCACAGCAGGGCCGCGACCCTCGATTTGAAGACCTCCCTCGATCTGCCATGCACTGGCAGCCACGCCCCACACAAAGTCGGTAGGGAATTTGAGGTTGACGTTGTCATTTAGGGGTCTGGCGGGCAGTTGAGGGGGGTATACCAGCTCGCTGGACGGGATGGGTGTCGGGGATGCGGTCGTCGTGAAGGGAGGCTCATGCGTGTAAGTGTAGTTTGCCCAGAGAGCGGCGTAGGCGCTCTGGCCGTACTGTCCATCTGGCGATGCTGTAGCCGAGGGGTTGAAGGAATATGTCGTGTAAGTGACGTTCTCCGGCAACAATGTCGAAACCTCGGTAAAGTGCGGTGCGTATGGTGTCGCGATGGTCAGAGGCGATGGCAGCGGCGTCGGGTATCGGTTTACCGTCAGCTGCTCATACGTAAAGGTGCTATAAGACCACGAAATTGCGGCAGTTGGCCGGACGGTCGTCGATGGAGCACCGGATGACTCTAGGGCAGCGGCATACGCCCCAGTCAGGGAGACTGCTGCTAGACCTAGATATGCTTGCAACATTGTCATGATCCCTGGTTGACTGGCTACCTTGCAGGAAATATCAGTCATCTGGGCGAACAGAATATGGGAATCTGGACATGAAGTCTTTTATACATATGATCAATTGAGGCACCGCTGCCCGAATCCTGCCTGCAAACAATCGTTTTCAAACTGTCGACCGGATATCCCGACGTTCCAATGCCAATTTCCTTTACACCCCACACTTTGAACAGTTCCCCGAATCCCCGCACACGTAAACGACTATGAGTTGCATTAGTCCATATAAACCAACGAATTGCAGGTCACATTGGGTCACTTGCGGAGTGCGAGATCTGGGGTCTGGGGTACCTTTGCAACCCATCCCGGCGAGCACTCCATCCCGGCTTTCGGTTCGGGAGGCGTCGTCCAGCGCAGGAAACCCGAAGTTGTCTGTCTCCTCGTACAAGCCTGACGTATTGACCTACTATGGAATTGACCAACTATGGAATTGAGATTCGAGCCATGATGGGTCAAGGAATGGGCAATGATGACCCTTTTAACAGAACCTCAGAAAGAATAATCAGCAGATTAGTCACTCGTTGAAGAGTTGCAAGAAGCGGATGGCCAGCTACGAGAGATTCGGAAAGAGCAAACACAAGAGAGAAAATCGAGGTCTATTCACGGAACGGAGCGGTTCATGGGATGAACAGGTAGATGATGCACTGACCTGTCATAGTCCGAGCCGACGAGGATGGCCACCATGGATATCCGTCCGGGAATCCATACATAACCTGCGTAATCAATCGGCCCTAAAGTGGATCGAAGCTCCCCCACCTCCGGAATATCCAAGAATTTCTCCCCTAACCATGAGCTGAGCTGTGGTAACTTGTGAGCTTCTGAATAACCTTGAATGACGTTACCTTACTGTGTAGCTAAAGAGGCACATGCTCGGTACATGGCAACGGATTAAGCTTCAGGCCGACTGTACACCAAAACAACGGTACGTTTCGATTCAGGTATTGCACTTCTATTTACTGCTAGTGAAAAGGAATGCTATTTGCGGGAGTCATTGCCAATTTGGTAAACACTCCACGTCCTTCATGGAAAGTACCCCACGGCCCAAAACTTCACAGCGTAACCCATACCTGATCTTCGCCGGTAGAGTCTCAGACTTTTATACGTGATCATCGAGCCAAAGCCGAAACTCTTTCTACCGAGTGAATTCTCTTGATTAGTCTAGTCATGTTTAACGTGCGTGTCTCTCTACATCTCGGCGCCCGGTAGTTCCTGATACTGCAGTGGATGATCAGAGGAGGGAGCTGGCATGGCCGTGATTAGATTGGGCGACAACTTCTGCAACATCAAGAGGCGTGAAGTCGCGTTTACACTGACTCGGTTTCATGGCAGGCTGCAACCGCTCAATGTCGATGTTCTTGACGACTGGATCGAATGATACGGATCGCCGGATGCTCTTCGCGGCCGCAGACCGCTTCTTCAATGGCGTGCCCAGCGTGCCCAACGACGGAGCGCGCTTGGCAGTGTTGGCGGGATCAATCAACATGAACCTGGCCTCAGGCGTATTCAGGAGCGCGAGCGCCCGAGCTTTCACCCTTTTCAACAGCTCCGGGTCTGATGTTGATTTGGGAAATGTTGATGCCAATGGCGTTAAGATGTTGTGCCGAGGCTGACACTCTTTACGAGACTTAACCTCCGTCGCGGGGTTCGGAACGTAGAGCTCTCGTCGAGGTTGAGGACCATTTCCGTGAGACACCGCCAGACCAAGCTCTGGCATGCTCCACTTTGCGGCCGAGGCAGCCTGTGGCTTCGCATCGTTGACGGCTACTGAAGGTCAGCACAATTTCGAATCAAGAGTAAGAAACGAGATAGCGTACAAGAGACTAAATTGTCGGTTGTAGAGTCTGGGGCGTCTAATGAAGTCAATGGTGCTGCACCCCGTTTTTGTAGGCCCTCTGTGGGGAAACTGCTTGAGTTGAGGTCGCCATGAGGGTCTTTGCCAGCCGGAAATTCCCAATACATGTGATTTAATGGTCCATGGTTGTGAGCAGGTAGACCAGTGGTATCTTGATGCATGAGGTAAGGGTACGCTGCGCTGACTGAGGCGGGCAAAACACCGGTGTGTGATGGATTTCGACGGATAGCACGACCCTGGGACTCTTCTATAGCACACTGAACGGAATCTCCAGTCGAATGGAGCCGGCCTGAGGGGTTCGATGCTGTTTGGAAGACTGGCAAGATCGCGGGCGCTGGAGTTGAAGACAAAGGCAGTTGAGGCGGATCTCTCACAAGCCTTGTAGGCCATTGCGGAGAAGCCAGATCGTGGCCTGTCGAATAGACTGCTGAGGGAAAGCCATGTGCCGGCGTGGCACTCTCCCACATGTGTCGGTTCGGCCAGGCAATGGCAGCTTCCTCGAGCGTCTCTGTTGCATTAGAAATAATTAGCCCGCAGTCCAGACAGCGAACCGAGTCACTAGCTGCTACCGACCTAGTGGAGCGTGACAGAAAGAAAATGCAGCGACGTTTTTGATGTGGTCCAAGGAAAGAGTCGTCGGGTCACGCTGGACTGCTTCCGTGACGATAACTTGGATGCGGCCAAGGGATGCAGCAGGATTCCAGGAGTATTCTTGCAAATATTTCTCGTTGAACGCAGGGAACCTGATTAGATCGCGGTCACCGTGTTTGTTTGGTTCTGCACAGAGACAGATCAGCGGCATATTCCTCGGCGAGTTCATGCATCGGCAACTGTGTCGACTTACTGAGACTCTGAGAGATGGGAAGAGGCGTCCGCCGACCTTGGTTGAATACGTCCTCGCTGAAAGTCCGTTAGAAGCTGTAAGCGATACCGACATCGGCTGCAAAATTCTTACGCGACGAGTTCTCCATCGATGTAAACCCGAGCCGCAAAAACTACGAGGTTGGCGTTTTGATTCGGGTTGCTGATAGAAGGGATTGTCCAAGAAAAGATGGAAACCGTGAGCGGCATGTTGCGAAGAAGACTGGGGACGAAGCCATGAACAACCGGCAAGCCAAAAGACCCCGGAGATGATGCTGGTTTCGATTCTGTCGGGGCATCTATTAATCAGCAAAGAAACATCCATGACCGCAGAGCTCGTCAAGACTGACCAAGGTCCGGAATGACGGAGCAGTCTGTCTTGAACTCCTTCAGCGGCACCGATCCACTGCCGGGGAACAGCAGGACGTCCCAATTATCGTAACGCATGTTGGAACTCCCCACGGTATCTAGTCGAGCGCGACGATGGGTGAATTCTCTGTTGTTGGCAGAAACGCGAGCAGGCGATGGCGGGTGCGACTAACGCCGAGTCCGATGATCTAGATTAATATGCTGGAAACACTGAACAAAGCGGTTGTTTGTTTGACGTCGAGTCTGTTTACTGAGTGATGGTGGAAGGAGAAGAAGTCTTTGGCACGGCAAGCTGCCGTACCTCCTTCGCCCAAGGGGCAAGCAGAGATGGAAGTGAGATGCCTCGTGGAAAGTAGGAGCTGCCATACATTTCTCCGCCATTCTACACCAAGAGGCCGACGCCAGCCGGGCACTTGCCCTTCAGCTGCGAAGAACTGCCCTAGGTATAGCCAAGTACCTTGCGTTCTTGCCATAAAAGGTGGAAAATCTGTCGCGTCTGCGTCCCACTCCGCCTGTCAGATACAACTGCCTACATCTGTTGTAGGGTCAGCACGGTTGATATCACTGCGGATGATTCTGACTGGAACATTGGCTAAAGACATATGAACTTGTTGCTGGTGGGGTTCCCAAAGGATTTCTTCTTCTGCTCTAAAATACACACATGCGTCACCATTCGTAAACCCCGACATGTCACACTTTTCATGGGTCAGCGTCGCCAGCCTTTCTCGCCTGTCATTATGTTAGTCTCGCAGTTTTAATCTCATATATCTGCTGCAGAACCTACCCGCAGAGCGCTAGCACCTCCCAACTCCCTCTCGAGTCCATCTGGGAATTCTCTCGGGTATGAAGCCTTATCGGGGTAGCTGGCCTTAACGACACCGCAGACACCGAGGAAGACGACGATAAAGGCACCAATCTGGGCCAGGCCCTTGCCGGTGGTGGTCCAGGTGTACTCGAAGGGGGAGAACATGCCGAGCAAGTCGTGGTCTTCGTGGACAGGCTCGCCAAAGTTGCGACGCTCCTGCTTGTCCCACCAGTCGCCGTGGGGGTCGCGGAACTGTCTCTTGATGAAGGGAGGGTTGATGTATCCACCGTTCTGCGCGTCTCCAAGTTAGCCACGGCTACCGAGCCTCTCTCTCCGTTTCTCTCGCCGCCAATTGCCGTGTCACTGACCATGTTGGGGTCTTCCGCGTCAGACAGAGTCGGGTACTCGGGGTACTTCTCCTCGAGAACCTTGCGGTCGTTGAACTGAGGAGGGAAGAAGGTACGTTGTTGGACAATCGGGGTTCGTCGGGCGGCCTGGACGGCGCCGCGGACCGTCGAGGCCCGCGCAAATCGTTGGGACAGCATCTGCGGAAGAGGCGGATTAGATTGTCACAATGATCTACGAGTCAATTGAGGGTTGAATTGGCATACCGTGGCCGAGATTGTGGTTCCGATGCGGGCCCAATTGCTTGGTATTTTTGGATGTGATGTCGTTGCAGGTCTGAGCCGAAGCTTCGGTCGATTGATGATTGCTAGCCAAATCCCTCGATTGTGGTTGGCCAGCCTGGATGCGGTGAATGCCTGAGGCGTTCAATGTTCACAACTGGTCACTTTTTTGAGGTGCGCGCCAGCCAGAGAACGAGGTGGGGTACTTTGGTGGAAAACCGGCCTCTGGTTGGATAGAATCACCCTGACTCCTGTCACCCATTTCGTTGATTCAAGGGAGCAAAGTCCCCCAAACACTACTCTTCTTTTCATTGGTGGTTCGACTCACAGTGGTGTGTAGCTGCCTGCCCGTACCTCAGGGCAGCATCAATCGTCCGCCGTCACCACCCGAACGACCTCTATGCCCCTACGCCCCCCGAGTCTGAGGCCAAGCACCAACGTGCTCTTTTCGGCTAGCCCAAGCAAGGCCGGAGCTGCATCTTTGCAAAAAAATCTATCATCAAACTTTTTGCTGGCGACGCTGGTTTTGCATCCTGTTTCCACCGCAGCCGGCCACCAAGACGTGTCATCATGTTCAAACTCGAAACTAGAATTCTCTGAGCATACACCATTCCATAGACGTTAATTTTGACGCGTCAGATGCCGGCCCCGTCGAGATCACGGCCCCATCTTGCGTCTGCCCCCCGTTGCTATCATGAACAAGACCGCGTCGCCCGACCCTGCGCAACCCACCAACGAGGTCATCGACTCCCAACGCGACGAACAAACCGCGACAGTACCTCAATATGATACCGATCCGCCCTCATCACCGCTCGAATCCCTCGGATCCGACGATTTCGAAGGCCAACTGACCCCCAACGGCAACGATTTCATCGGCCTACCCCTCCGCTCACCATCACCCACATCACCATTATCTCCGTCAACCCCCTCGCCCTCACCTCCACCTCCCGCGCCCTCCTCCGACATCGACGATGAACGCCCTTCCAAACGACGTCGCGTCTCCACGCCATCTGCGCCTGGGTCTGGCCAGAAAAAGAAACAAATCTCCCCGCCGTGGAAGAGGATCACCGCCGAGGGCCCGACCTCTTTCATCGATAATGGCAGACGCAAGTCTGGTCGAATTAACACCATCCCCCTCGAGTTCCATCCGCCATCCGGCAAGCGAATGACAAGAGGAGCTCTTAACAGTAGTCCACCCTCCAAGAACAAGTATGCTTCTACGAACGGCCACGCCGCGACGCCCACTCCAAACGGAACCTCCAAGTCCAAGACTCCCTCGCGAAAACCATCAGCAGCAAAGCCCGCACCGCCACCGCCCAAGACCTCCAACCGAAAATTGACTGCGAACGAGACCAAGTCTACCTCCCGATCCACGCGCAAGCGAAGCCCTTCCCCATCTGCTCAACCAACTAGGCAGTCAACGCGGACAAGGCGGGGCCGCCGCAGCTCCATCGACGATGAGGTAGCGAGAACTTCGGCGGGTAGCCCGAACCGTACGCGGATTAAGTTGCGTGTACGCGCGACCGAGCTACCCGTTGTACATCCGGGACAAGTCAGCAAAAGGCTAAGAATTGGCCCCAACTTCGAAGAATTCTGGGAAAAGGCGCAGGCAATACCCGTTGAAGATGGTGGCATGTACGTCCCAGAGGAGGGGCCTAGCTACACTGATGAGATGGCTCAAAAGGATGCTCAGGTTGTCTTGCGCATTGAAGAGGCCGTAGAGCCTGGCGGTATCCTTTCACAAGAGCGCTGCACCCTGTTTGTTCCCGAGGCGGAAGAGGAACCACCACGCCAATGGGCCCATGCAGATCACATGGCCAAGGCTGTTACCAACTTCCGCAAGCTAATGGTAGCAGAGCAGCAAAGACATCGGGCGCAGGCCAAGAGGATTGCCGAAGCTTGTAAGGACGCCTGGCTCCGGCGCCAACCAAAATCAGCAGAAGAACTCGAGGCCGAGGCGCGCTTTGTGTGGATCGGGCGATACAGAGTTGTTGTCAAAAGCATGTTTGGAACCTGGGAGAATGTTCGGTACGAGATTAATCGGCGGAGGATTCAAGAATGGGAAGCGGAGGAGCAGCGCCGGGTCAAGGCTGCGCTTCAGGAGGCAGTCAATCTCTCAGAGCAGAAGCTGCAGGCAAGAAGAACACAGGCGGACTCGGACATATCCGACGAAGATGACCTCGACGATGACGACAATGACGAGGACCTTGACGACCTCGACAGCGACCTCGAAAATAGCCAAGCAATGTCGGTAGACGCGGATGATGATGACTCCGGCAATGACGACGACGACGATGTCATGTCATCTTCAGAGGAGGAGGAAGTTGGCGAAGATCACACTGGCGATGCTGGTGACGAGAAGCTCACTATGGAACAGCTTCGTGCCAAATACGCCAACCTGCCGGAGCTTCCTCCCTTCGAGCAAGCCGAACAGAAATTCACTAATGGCGTTGAGTCCGAGGCAGACTCAAGAATTGTGGCAACCAGCCCCGGAGAAGAGACCAGCGATGAGTCCATCGACATGGATGACGATATGGGATCCACCGACATTGACGACAGCGATGACGGCTCTGGCGCGGATGAAGAGTCGGAAGAGGAAGATGGAGACGAGGAGCCCTCTGGATTGTTGGGTATGCTCTTCGGGAAATCTGAGTTGAAGAAGATCAAGGATGAAGCGCCGCCTGACGACAAGAAGCCACCTGAAAGCACTGCAGCCTTGGTGGCTGATGGCGCATCCCCACGAGCAGAGGCGTCGGTGAACTTCAGGAGCGAGATTGGGGAGGATGAAGATGACGATGAAGTGTCTCTGATTCAACATCCCGGTATCTTCTTGGACGGTGATGAGATGGAGATTGACACAGAACTACAAGCTACTGTGCCACTAGGCGCTGGCGACCAGGATGATGGTGTCGAAATTGCAGTCTCCGAGAAGGAGCCCACCATGCCCCTACAGTCGCTCAAGTCGGATGAGGCCTTGGTCAATGGCGTGGACAAGGAACCAACAGTCACGAGTGTAGAAGTTATCACCAACGGGATACCAGAGGTAATGGAATCTGCTGATACGGAAATGGCAGACGCGCCATCAAAAAAACCAGAGGCGTCAATACCCTCGGCGCCATCTACGACTGCTATGGTCCCAACGAAACATGTCACCCCTGATACCGATATCGTTACCGTCCCGCCAAGTCGAGAACAAAGTCATTCGCCCCCTACGTCCGACACAAAGCCTTCAGATGTTGACACGATGTCTTTGGCAACCCCGGGGGCAAAGGATGTTGTCAGTCGGTCAGCTTCACCAACACCCAATTCACAACAGACGCAAATCCCGTTTTTACTCCGCGGTACTCTGCGTGAATATCAACATCATGGACTGGACTGGCTAGCGGGACTGTATGCCAACAACACCAACGGCATTCTTGCAGATGAGATGGGTCTTGGCAAAACCATCCAGACCATTTCCCTACTCGCTCATCTTGCTTGCCACCATGAGGTTTGGGGACCGCATCTGGTGATTGTACCAACGAGTGTCATGCTCAACTGGGAGATGGAGTTCAAGAAATGGTGTCCTGGTTTCAAGATTCTCTCCTACTACGGCACTCAAGAGGAGAGGAAACGCAAGCGGCAGGGATGGAACAATGATGACGTATGGAACGTCTGCATCACATCTTACCAGCTTGTCATCCAGGACCAACAGGTCTTCAAACGCCGGAGGTGGCACTATATGATCCTCGACGAGGCTCACAACATCAAGAACTTCAAATCCCAGCGGTGGCAGACGCTACTTGGTTTCAATACTCGGGCAAGGCTTCTACTTACAGGCACTCCACTTCAAAATAACCTTACCGAGTTGTGGTCGCTGCTGTTCTTCCTTATGCCAGCCGAAAATGGCGTCGGTGGGTTCGCAGACTTACAAGAGTTCCACGATTGGTTCCACAAGCCAGAGTCTCAAATCCTGGAAAACGGCCGCGAGACGATGGACGAGGAAGCACGAGCGATCATTTCCAAGTTGCACAAGGTCTTGCGACCATATCTACTACGAAGACTCAAGGCCGACGTCGAAAAACAAATGCCGGCCAAGTACGAGCACGTCGAGTTCTGTCGCCTGTCGAAGCGTCAGCGTGAATTGTATGATGGCTTCTTGGCCCGCACAGATACCAGGGAGACGCTATCTTCTGGTAACTATCTGTCCATCATCAACTGTCTGATGCAGTTGCGGAAAGTCTGCAACCATCCCGATCTTTTCGTGGACCGCCCTATCATGACGTCCTTTAGGATGCAGAAATCCGTTCCGGCAGAATACCAGGTTACCGATCAGTTCCTACACCGATCTTTACTTGCAGTAGAGCCAATGTCTATTGTTAGCCTGGGCGTTCTCAACATGATTCCAACACAGCACGAGAACATGTCCAACACGACAGCAGAGCGCATTTCGCAGCTCAGCCTTCACAGGGTACTGATGGAACTGAGAGAGGCACAGAACACCAGAGCCCATCTGGCTCGTACAAACCTCGACCCTTCAACAGTTGAGTCAAACATTATGTATCTGGACAGCCTGGCTCGCTGGCGCCGCTTCGAGGAATTGCAGCACAGCGTGTACCTGAACGCTCTCCGCGGCCAACGTCGGCCAATCTATGGCAAGCGCCTGATTGATTTCTTGACGCTCGGGTTAGACGGTAGACCCCGGAAACCTAAGCCAAGAGTTCCTAACAAGATTTTGAATTGGTTTGCGGAGGATTCCGACTTCCTCCGTGCCGTCATCCACCCAGCTGACGAACGAGCCGATGCCATGCAGACGATCATCCAAAAGTTCACATGCGTCACTCCCGCCGTCATCACTCGTGACATGAACGAGGTGATACTGGGAAGAAAGGCGGCTCAGGCCTTTACGGACGAGGACCTCAAACTCTCAGCGCCCGTCCGCTGGGCTCCATTCATGCCCAAGCAGCCACCCATCGATCCATGGCACGAGTCCCGCATGCGTCACAGTATTCAATTCCCTGACAAGCGACTGTTACAATACGACTGTGGAAAGCTTCAAGCCTTGGACAAGCTTCTTCGCAAGCTCCAAGCCGGCGGCCATCGTGCCTTGATCTTCACACAGATGACCAAGGTCCTGGATATCCTCGAGCAGTTCCTCAATATTCACGGCCACAAATACCTTCGACTTGATGGACAAACAAAGATTGAGCAGCGGCAGATTCTCACAGATAGGTTCAACCATGACCCACGCATCTTGTGCTTCATCCTGTCTACACGTTCCGGTGGATTGGGCATCAACCTTACTGGGGCGGATACCGTCATCTTCTACGACCAAGACTGGAACCCAGCCATGGACAAACAGTGCCAGGATCGATGCCATCGTATCGGTCAGACACGAGACGTACACATCTACCGGCTCGTCAGCGAGCACACCATTGAGGCCAACATTCTCCGCAAGGCGTCACAGAAGCAGATGCTTGACGATGTAGTCATCCAGGAGGGCAGTTTCACCACGGACTACTTCAATAAACTTTCCGTGCGGGATGTCCTCGGCACCGAGGGGACCGATCTGGTCGATGATGCCGCTAATGCCGCCATGGACCGCCTTCTAGGTGGAGGAGACAGCGGAGCGTCGAGAACCGTGGCCGAGGACCTTAAGCAAGCCGAAGACCAGGAAGACGTGGAAGCCGCCAAGGCCGCCGAGAAGGAGATTCAAGACGACGACGCCGAGTTCAACGAAAAGAGCGGTGCACCTTCTGGCGCCTCTAGCACCCGCCAAGGTACGCCGCGGGATGACGGGGCCGGCCAACCAGGCAGCGGCCCCGGAAAATCTGGCTTAGGCCGATTCTCGGAATCCGTCGCCCCCTATGAAGCGGTAGAGATTGAACACAACGCGTGGGGTGAGAGAATATATAATGTGGACGAGTACATGCTCCGGACGATGGCGGAGCAGCTCAAGGGCACGGCGCTCGACCTGCCCAAGGATAAGAAGAAGAGTAAAAAGAAGGGTCGCGACACACGGAAGAGGTAGGCTGTCTGTGTTCATGGGAGGGCGGCACCTTTGTGTAATTGGACGGTTGGTTTCTTTTTCTGTATTATATGGTTCTTGCTCGAGAAGGTCTCGAGGAATAGACCTTTGCATGTATTTATTGCTGGGGGTGGGAAGAAAACGGCGTCTGAGAGGACTTTAGCCGTGACGAGGCGTTTTGGGTTGATGGGGGAGGTCCCCATGGAAGCATAGATATGGACGAGAGTGAAAAATCAAGATAAATCTCCAAGCATTCATTATTTGGCTACTCCTATGTACGTGATTTATGGTTCCTAATACTTGTCCATGCGAACCTGAGTCTTGTCAAACCTACGCCATGGACATGGACCCCGCGGCCCCCTTCCTCGCAACCTCCTCACTCCACGCCTTCGCCTCTCTCCTCAACTCTCTCCCAACATACCAAAACGTCGCAGCCGTCCAGACACCAGCCCACACAAACGGCAAAGCCCAACCAACAACGTACGCAGCCTCCCCGCTCCTCAACCCAAAAATCAACGCCGTACAAAGCACAGCACACGCCTCGGCGCCAACAGCCCAAAACACACCCAACCGCCTCAGCATCGCGCGAAAGACGTGGCTCGCCTCGTAGCGCCTATCGAGCGCGACGCGGAAGTCCGTGCCGCCTGAGCCGTCGACGGCGCAGACGTCTTCGATGACGGAGTAGATGCCCGGTCGCAGCTGAGCTTTGTGGGGTACGGAGGAGATGCGGAGCGGGGAGGGGAGGTGGAGAGCGCGGAGGGCGTCGATTAGGAGGAGTTGGGTGCCGAAGACGAGGAGCATTGTTGGGACGGGCATGGAGAGGAGGCGGATTGGGGGGTTTCTTGGGACGGTGCCTCTTGGATGGTGTCAATCATGTGTGACTTGGGATGCTAATGATATTGTAGACGGATGGGAGGAGGGCCACTTACACGATGAGCTCAATCATGATTATGATCCACGCAAAGGAAAAGTTCCAGTGAAACCAGTCGAGATACCACCTATGCGCCCCAATTACACGACATGTGCTGCCTTTACGCCAAAGCCTCCAGAAGCGCACGAAGTACTCGACGATGCTGGCGCCGCCCACGGCCGCGGTGACGATGGAGAAGACGGCGTTGGGGGAGAGTTTCTCCTTTTTTTCCGTGGGCGTGTTCGTTCCCGGGCCGACGCCATACCAAAGGCCAAAATAGAGGGCTATCGGCATGGCGATGGAGTCGAAGAGGATGAGGGTCCAGAAGAGCGCGATTGCTGTCTTGCGGGTGCGGAGGGTGTAGTTCAGGGGCGGGGGAGTCGGTTGGAAGGCCGGGAGGGTTTGGGGAGGATGCCTGGCCGAACCGGGAGCTTCGCCGATGTGGGGTGTGTTTGGGTCCGTTGACGGCCGTGTAGGTGAGTGGGAGCTTCGCCGGGTCATGGCGAGGCTTGGACGGCTGAAGGGACCGTCGTAGCGACGGTCAAAGTCATGGCTTGGTCTGGTGGCGCGCCTCTTTGGGGATCGTGGGGATGAGGGTTGGTTGTGTGGTGCTGATGCTGGGCGCCGGGATGTGTCGATATCTGGCAGATTCTGAGCTTGCGACGTCTTCTCATCAACGTCTCCATCTCTTCTGTCGGAATTGGATTCATGTTGTCGTTGACCATCGGCATGTCGCGTAGAAGCGGGCTTCCGCGGTTGAATAATCTGTAAGCTATGACGACCAAACGTTGTGGGGTCATACTGATGAGAATGGCGATGTTCGGTACTGATATCACTGGAGCGCGGATGCCTCGGATCAGGGGGACTGTAGGCCCCAGGAGCTGCTTTCTCATCCATCGTTGTCAGAAACCAGCGAGATCGTAGACTTCTACGGAACGAGCATAGAGCGTAACACCTTTGAAGAACAATGTAGTGAAGGAAAGGTAACCAACATCGATTCCAGGAGGTTAATTGAGCAATAAATCAAGGAGGATAGCAAGACATCACGTCGCCAAGACTCCAGAAGGAGACGATCTCAACTTTCCGGGACTTCCAACTGATAATCGCACCGGTCGCACTAAACCGATGAATGAGGACCCACGGCTAAAAAAGGCAAATGGAAGATCTGAAGCTTCATTTGTTGGACGAGAGATGTCGGGTGGTGACATTCGGGGGGGCTAGGAGTAGAGGCTCCGCCGGGGAATCAGGGATGATGTCAGTATGAATCCTGTGGCAAACCTGAGAAGCTTCCATGTTCGTCCAACTCAGGGACGTGAGAGCTTCTTCAGGGACAATCAGGTCGGCCGTACCGGCTCTGGAAGATTGATCATGGGAACTTGCCCGATCAACGGCGGAGGTGTCCGTCAACACGCAGAAAGGGATATTGGCTGATGCTTCCTTCGAGTACAATTGACATCATGCGATGAAAGCGCTGTACAAACTTGTAGAGAGGAAGGACTTTCCATGAGAGATAAGATAAACATGTTCTTGCCGCTTAGTCATCTCACCATGAGCTTCGAAGTGATCAGGCTCTCCCAACTCATAGATGCCTGGGCTACCCCTCATTCCAAACATATCTCACTTCTTCGCTGTGAAGCTCATGGTGGCCTTCTCGTTACCTGTAGGTGAGCTGCCCTTATAAGTGTCACCATCCTCCAACCATGCGTCTGATCAATACGGCAACACTGGAGCTCGAGGAGTTTGACCGTGTCCGCACCCCACTGTACGCCATTCTTTCCCACACCTGGGAGGACGGAGAAGTGTCGTTCCAAGAATGGAGCCACCGTGAGACTAGGACAGGAAAGAAAGGCTTTCTCAAGATCGAATCGTTCTGTCGGCTGGCCTCGCGGTACGGGTACACCCACGCTTGGGTAGACACCAATTGCATCGACAAACGCAGCTCTGCCGAGTTGTCTGAGGCTATCAACTCCATGTTTGCCTGGTACAAAGGAGCAGCTATTTGTTACGTTTATATGGCTGACGTATCAGCCTCTAAGGAGAATCGCGCCCTGGACAGTCAATTCCTGAACAGCAAATGGTTTACTCGTGGCTGGACTTTGCAAGAGCTTATTGCACCCCGCCGTATCAACTTCTACGCTCAGGATTGGAGGCTCATTGGAACAAAGCAGAGTTTGCTTGACGCCATACACAGAGCAACCGCAATTGATATAAAGTGTCTTTTAGGTGACACAGCCCCTTCCGAGTTCAGTATTGCCAAAATCATGTCTTGGGCCGCTGGCCGTGTTACAACTCGCCTCGAAGACCAAGCATATTGTCTCCTCGGTCTCTTCGATGTCAACATGCCGCTTATCTACGGGGAGGGCGACAAGGCTTTCCAGAGGCTGCAGCAGGAGATAATCAGGATCTCCGATGATCAGAGCGTCTTTGTCTGCGACATACCGAGCCTGTCCATGACGGCACCCTTGGCTCCGTCTCCTTCGCTCTTCTCCAAGTCAGCAAATGTCAGGTCCTGGTCCCGTCTGGCAGCTCCAACGGCAACGATACCACCGTTTCACACAGTGACCAATGCCGGTCTTTCAATATCTTTACCACTAATTCAAACTTTGTCACCTGAATTCGTTCTGGGCGTTTTGAGTTGCACCACAGTTGAGGAGTATCCCAGGAGCTCCGTTTGCCTACCTTTGTCATCTCACATCAGCGACTACCGGCACCAGTATACTCGAGTATCCCTGCCTGCCCCGTGGATATCGCTCAATTCAACTTCGATAAAGTCCCTCCTTCCATGGCATGAAGAAAACGCCTCGCAGCCTGATTGGTTTTCAGAATTCATACCCGAAAAATCAACGAACATCGTAATCTCCATGCTTTGCCAGGCGGACCGTGACTCCCTCTCAATACGGGTCTTTAAGCCTCTCCAGAAGCTGGGAGGAAAGCTTACCAAGGTCTCTTGCTTCGTCACATTCCCGCGTGGCTTCTCCGACTATCGTCTTTACGCGGCAGACCCCCCCGAGGCGCTGGATGAAGAAACGAGTATAATGGCCATGCTTGATCAGAAATTCACCGATAGAAAGGGTTGCGGCCTGCTTGTCTTCAAAAATAGGTCCCTCGAACGCGGCAACGGTAGATACGTTGGTATCTATCTCGAAGCGGCATTGGAACACAACGGCACTTTGCAAGACTGGCCTCGAGCATGTCGCGTGTTTCCGAATTGGAATAAACGAGACGGCCTTGATGTCGCTACCCAGCACGGCGAAAGTTTTCCGCCCAGTCGCGCAAGCTGGGTTGAAAATGTCTTAGTAACAACCAGGACTGCGATACCGGTCAAACCGAATCATTTGTTATCAGCGACTATCGCGTTGATGGTGGAAATCGTCTTTGACACGGACTACATTCGAAGGCCACTCATGAACGAATCGAATCGTCGTTTTGCGACTCCTCGTTTTGCGGCTCAGAGGGCTCCAACCGGGATCGCCTAATTTTCAGGGACTCGAGCGAGTCTGGCCGCCGCAACCCTCTCTTGAAATTAACATTAGAGCAAAGGTCACGGAACCTGTCAATGAACCTTGACTAGACTTAAATCTTATCATCACCTTTCAGAAGGCAAAATCAATGTAAGAATCAAGTTCGATTGAACAGAACAAACTATGCAGCGCAGCTGCTCCGGCAGCTCAGCTAACCATTCTGTCTCCGCCTATCAATACACTGCACCAAAAGAAACTCGCTAATAATCTTCATATAATCATCAGATCTCCACGATTGGATCCTATTCCATCTTTCTCATCCTCACATTGCGCTGCTTAGGCCATGACCTCGGCGTGAAACTGCTCCTGTGCGCCAGCGGGGGCGGCGGGAGCGGCAGGCGCAGCGGGGGCAGCAGGCGCGGCACCACCGGCGGCACCACCGGCAGCATCACCGCCGAGCTTCTGGATACCACCGTCCAGGGACTGAGTGACCTGATCAACAGACTGCTGAGCAATACCCTGGCCGATGGCGGGGACCTTGGAAACAATGGCACTGCTGAAGTCACCGGCAGTCGCCTTCTGCTGCTTGAGCTGGTCAACGGCGATGGAAGTGGCGCCGAGCTTGTCAAGCTCGGGCTTCTTAGCGACCAAGTCATCAACAGAGGTCTGGACAGCGGTGGTCAAGCCACCGGCTGACTGCTGGAGCGTGAGGGCATCGGTGAGTGAGAGCTCCTGGGCGCCCTGGATTTGCGTGGTACCTTGCTTCAGCGAGGTCTGGACCTTGTTGGAGGCATCGAGCAGGTTGGCGGCGGTGTTGGGATCCGCGGCGCTGAGAGCCTATGCAAGAGCGGGTTAGCTTCGGTCACTGAACAATGTTCAAGTCCTCTTGTCGTACCTTGACAGCGGTGTCGAGCCCGGTGAGCGAGTCCTGGACGTTGGTCAAGGCAGCCTGGATGGGCTGAAGTTGACGCTTGCTGGCGAGAGAAGCGGGAGCTGCGACGGCGGAGCCGGCAAGCAGGGCCTGGACGAAGACGTTGGTGAAGTGCATTTTGATTGGTATTCGGTAAGCGAAGGCTTGATTTGATTGAAGCGAAGGATGAAAGTTGTTTGGAAAGGTGTTGGAAGATCGTTGTAAGCTGAGAAGTCTGGATGCTGATGAGATGGAAGGAAACCTGACCTAGACCAGGAAATCCATCGTCTTAATATACCAGCTTGTAGACATTGACGACGAGTCAACTTGGTCTCTGCCTTCCCGTCACCGAGACTTCATCCGAGCCATTGCAGTCTTAGTCCAAGAGACATCGAATACATACGACTCATCGGCCTGTAATCTCAGTACCTAGACCTGCGGGACGCAAAACCGACCTCTCTCACAGTTCCCATCGTCAGAATCTGTCAATATTTGCCTAAGCTGTTGCAATTGGCGCCGCGGGAGCCTCATCCGGCTGAGTGTAGTCAGGGCCGAGGATGAACCCTTGAAACGCGCGCAGACGGCACGCCATGCGGCGTGGTTCGGCCGTCGACCAAAGATCACGGCTTTCGCGGTCAGACGAAACGAAATGTGGATTCACGGACCCCAGCTAGAAGCGTCAGTCTCTCGACCAGGGCAAGACTGACAGATTTTCACATTCGGCCTACATGGCAACCCTGGATCCGAAAAGATGATCCTTTCTATTTTCATCCTCCGGCAGCGGTGCTGTTCATTCCCCATGGTGTGTGCGTTCATGAATCGCACCGCCTAGACCATACTGCGATCGCGGCAAGCTGCGATACCTACCGAAGCATTTCAGATGGCACAAATCGTTGCTTTCTTTCCCCTGAATTTGTCAAGAGCTCATGTCAAATGTTTCTGCTCGACAGCTACGATGGCTCCGAGGTAAAACTGAGAGCCTGGGTTTCGATATCAAGCTCGCGGTCTTGGCAAACGTGCTGCACACTGTCGCGCCTCTGGGCCCGCAAATTCTCTCCAGACTAACGCAATAAGCTTACTCAATGGTTCAAATATCCAGTACACTAATTAGTGGCGCAGACTGAGTAGACTTCACTCCTGCAGAACTTCAGGAAACTGGTGCGGGAACGCTAGCACACAGCAGCACCTCGGGGTGTTCCGCCTGCACATAACATGTTAGCGGTATGCGTGTCAGTTGCCTCTAGTGCCTAGCTAGGCGGAGTGGCGCCAAACAGGCATTCTTACAGAGGCACTTTGTCGCCTGTTTGGCAGCCGCTAGTGCGGCACTGAGTGTCATCGTGCGTTCACGTCTCGATGAGAGCCTCCACGACGTCTTAGCACCCAATCTCCCAATGGACTGTGGCAACGATCTCTGCCAGTGCCAAGCAATCAAAAGCCGCGCATTCGGATTCGACTCAGCATCCTGTGCCCCATCTGAGACAGTGACACAGTTGACAAATGTCTGCCATGTGTCACTTCGCCGCAGATTTCCTCTGCAGAGGTCCGTGCCGGGCGCGGCCATGCGCCTGGCTAGGAATCTGAAGCTGCAACCCTGTCACCAATTTGTTTCTGGGACGGGGGTGGCTGAGGATGGGTTATCCCGACATCGACATGAACGACTGAATCTGTCATTGTTGTGGTAGTGGCATCAACTGGTCCTTACCCCGGGTCAGTTCGTCGGATGGCAGTAGGATTTGTGGATGCCAGGGGCCAAGTAATCGTGGATCACCAGGTGGTCTTCGGAACGGGAGGGGATGCGTGAGAGACAGCTGGCACCTCTCACTCGATGTCCAGACCTCGTTCGATGTCCGATGTTTTCAAACAGGACACGGCGGCGCGCTGTGCCCCCAAGTTGGCTGGTTCACGAACCTGAGGTGGGCTAAGAACGGCGAATCACCGAGGTTGGTGGGCTTGGACCGCGGATTCGTCACATCCGATTCCACCAGAACCTTCTCGGTCTGAAGAGCCACAATCCTGAGAGTCCGGTGTAGCTGATGGTCTCAAAGGTCCGGACCCTTGGTAGTCCGGTCCCCTTTTGCCCAGACCTCTTGACTCTGCACAGGAGTCTCTGAGCTGCATCGTCCCACAATCTCCATACATGGTAAAGAAGGTTCTGCTGTTGGCCTGGTTCCCTTGATCTTTTCCTAAGCCGAGGTTTTCCTAGAATGGATATTTGGAGCTTGTCTTGTCACTGGCCAGATGAGACTCACGCACAAGAAGCTCCGATATCAACAAGCTCTTATCGCGCTTTGAAGTCGACCACTTCTCCAGAGGTACGAGCGGAGTTCCAGGGTATCGGCAGATGATTTTCATGGAATGAAATTGTTATTCGTGGCTCACATTGTGGAGAAGACTGGAGAAATGGGTAGGTGACAGGACATTTGCTTTGACCCTAGACATTCATTTTAAATGCGATTCGCTCCTCATCGAATAAGCTTATTTATGATGCGTGCTGATTGGAGAGGAACTGGTTCATTACACATTTTCAGTGGCGAATTGTACCTCGGTACATTACTTCCAGGAGTGTAAGTGATGAGTCTGACTCCTGGCGAACGAGATGTGGAGATATATAGATAAAACCAACCAAGTTCCCAGATCACCAACACCGCCTTTCTTTCTTCATGATGTTATAAAAGTAGGTTAGTAGAGGTCCTATGGCGATGCAGCATTATGATATTCTAAGTTACGCTTCACAAAGCCAAAGTGATCCAGTCTAGCGCCAAGTCGATGGTCTGGAGAGGATCTCACGAGGAACTCAACCCGTCAATCGACAAACTCCAAACTCTGCCCACTCTAGTTAAGAAAGACTTCCTGCCTTTCCAGACGGACCCTAGGGGGGCCTTTACTCTGCAGAGTGTCCGGCATGGGGACGAACTTCGGTGGTAGAGTTCGTATGATTTAGTATGGATGAACGCAGCCTGCAGGGCCGAAAGGCAAATCACGGTGAGCGTAGGACGAATGGGGTAAAGTTGGCTGATGGAGGGGCGAACCCTTGATCTGAGATTCGTACTCGGAAAGTTTATTTGAAGGAATTCGAAAAGCTTATCGTCCCTGCTATCGATTGCTAGTATTGTCCTTCAATGATGTACAGCATGGGTTTGTTTGATAATCTTTTCTAGACAAACCAAATTTACCATGGAGATCTCAGCCGCTCCAGGTATGAAAGTGTTTTCGATCTTCCTATCTTAACTTAGCTTGGCACTTGCTTAATAAGCTCAAATAAAGTTATCCCACGACGGAAGGCTACAACTGACTCGCGTTGGCTTACTTGAGCAGCCATGTCTATCAACACTTTATTTGTTGTAAGGTAGTTGAAGGCTGATTTCAATCCTTACGACTAAAGAAAAAATTGAACCACAGTTCACGTCAAGGCGGAAATCGAGCAGTTTATTTATATCTTCGACACTGGTTCGTCACTCTTGCACTTTCATTTTGGCTCTCTAGTTTCTCGATACCTGCCTTATCAGTATGTCTTGCTCAAACATGGCCAACTGCGGAGATCTAAGGCTCATAAAAGCAGGAAGCAAAGAAAAATACAGAACTTTGAGACAGCAGCCCACCAATGGGATGTTGAGACTGAGACCTCGAATTGCTCTTCGTGGAAAAGGGCCTGGCTACTTGAACTCGCTCTATGGCGGGCTGTTTTCGCATTTGTCGTTCTGTACGACCAGTATAAATATCGTAGATCGTAGTCGAAGTGATGGTTGATCCGTACTGCCAGTCCAAGGTTCACTGACCTCTCTTCTGGTTTGTCTATGTGTGTATGGTCTCAGAGTACAGGTAGGAGGATAGGAAGCTCGTGAGGTGTGATGTAGCTGGGTGGGACCCATCCTCGCCAACTAGGTACCTTGATCCCACATGACAATAAGAGCTCTTTTCGATATACTTACCCACACTACCCAACTTTTCACGCGTATTCGAAATGAAACACTCTGGTAGGAGTGGCGCTGAAGCAACGACAACGCTCGACTGGCAAAGGCTTAGATGGCTAGCCGTTATCCGCTTCTTATTGTTTACACCAGCTAATCGATCGAGATTACTCCCATCACAACCATGGGCGGAAAGGAACCATCCAGGCTGCTGTTGTTTGCACGCGCATGGTTGCTGCTCGCTCTGTCGCTTCGTAGGCTACGTGCGAGCCTACTTATACTAAGCCAGCCCCCCCCCCCCCCACCCCCTGGGCAGCATAGAACATCAAGAAAAGAATTGACCTAAAGAAGTACTTAGTCTACGCATGTTGCCAATCACCGACAACTATGTCTTACGCTAGAATTTGATTCGGTCGTTTGTTTCACGAAGAATTCAATATTTTTATGTCTTTCCGCTTGCTGGGCTTGAAACCAGCAATGGCCAAAAATTCTCCGCGCACAATCGAGCACCCAGCAGCTCGGCCGTTCCTTTCAGCCTAGCTATTCTTTCGCAGAGATCTTAGTTTATCCCTACCTCAGAAGTTTCCAAATTTTCCATTCGTCAAGCGCAAGTAAAGCGCTTCTTTCGAGTGATGTAGTCTGCCAGCGGACAGAATCGGGAATGACGCCGGCCGTAATCCCGCAAAAGGTGGAGCCACGACCGGGCGCCGAATCCTCACGGCATCTCCGATTCGACCCGCTCCGAGTCAGCTTCCTATCCGGGCCAACCCCGTGATCGTGTATCGCGGAACATGTCGGACTCAGTCGATCCTCCTTTTTCAGACAACACGAAGTCTCACAAACCGAAAAGCCGTAAGACAGTCCTCGGTGCCTATGGTGATTCAGATTCTTTAAATCGCCGTAGTCAGCTCACTCACCTTCAACACCATTGGAATATCGTCCGCTTCGAACAGGACCAATTTCCAAATTGTCAGCCATGCCTGAAATGAAAGTCCTCGTCCTGGGTCTCCCCAGAACAGGCACCCAATGTTACCCCCTCCCCTCCCCATCCCCCACCCTCCTCCCCACCACTCTAACACCCCACAGCCCTTGCCGACGCCCTCGCAATCCTCAAAATCGCCCCCGTCTACCACATGCGCGAAGTCGCCAAAAATATTCACCAAGACCTCTGGATCGCCGCCATAACCGACAACCTCCCCATCTCCAACCCCAAAAATCCCTGGTCAAACTCCCAATGGGACGCCCTCCTCTCCCCCTATGAAGCAGTCTCCGACTTTCCCCCCTCTCTCTTCCCAACCGCGCTCGCAAAAGCATACCCTACAACCCCGATTATCTTAACAACCCGCCCCTATGAGTTCTGGGCGTCTTCGATGCGCGATACTCTGATCCACGCACACCTCCACCGGGATCAGCACCAAAAGAAATCGCCAATGGAGGGGTTGGCGGACGCGTATCACTCTGTCTGTTGGGACAACGACTTTGAGAAGAATGGAGAGACGTATTTTAAGAGGCACCACGATGAGGTGAGGGCGTTGAAGACTGACGGGCGTAAGTTTCTCGAGTATAGGCCTGGAGGCGGGTGGGAGCCGCTTTGTGCGTTTTTGGGGGTTGAGGTGCCGGATGTGCCGTTTCCGAGGAGTGATGATTGGGTTGAGTACAAGAAGAAGGTTGAGCAGGACAGAAAGGAAGCTGGTGCTGTCGATAAGTAGATAGAGTTCTAAGGGCCATTAAGGATCACGATAAAAGCACACATTGTGGCAAGAGGGAACGTATACACTGTGGGTTGAGCTCGAAAAGTCGAGGTCGTTTTATTGCGTGGCATTTCTGGGCCGGAGTAAATCCTCAACAGCCAAAGCCTGATAGAAAAGATACTAAAAGAGTGTGACGAAAGCAAACGTATCACCGAAGCCAGAAAGCCCGTCAGACTCATGTTGAATAGCCCCATTCAGCCTGATTTCCATTACCGATGTTGGATCTGATATCAATCCCGCCAAAACTCTGCACCGAGGCGCCGATTACCAGGAAACTTCCCGTGTATTTTACGTTAGCCTGCGCAGTGGCATCTGCTTTGCAGCAGAATTATGTCCAGTCTAGAGCGCGGACTAAACCTGTCCCTCTGGACTGCGTGCAATCATGCCGAGACCCATGTGACGCTTCACAGCCTTCCAGGTTTCAATGAGAGCAATGTAAACGACGAGGCAGGCAACGACAATACCCCACTCCCAGGTAATCATGCCGTGCTTGAAGACAGCGCGGTTGACAACGGGGAGATAAATGACGGGGAAAGTCATGATGAAGCCGCCGGCGACGGCCCAGAACAAGAAACGGTTCTTGAAGATGGTCTTGAACACGGCCGTGGGGCCAGTCCACAACTCAGGGTTCATGTTGAACAAGCTGCGCTGGAAGTGCTTGACCTCCCAGGCAGTGACCAAGAGCAAGAAACTCAAGGTGGCGTAAACGGTGGATCTGGCCCTGAAGACAACGTCACAGGTTTCGTTCCAGCCGTCGTTGCAGTGGCTGCCGAGATCGCCCGCGCCTGGTCCGTACGCAACGGAAGTAAACGCGGCCAAGCAGAGCGAGCCCATAAAAAACCCGTAAATCATCTTGTCGCGGATCAAGTCCCAGGTGAAGACACCGACACGGAGACTGTGAGGGGCACGCAAGAGGATATCGGGTTGAGCCTCCTCCAGCCCAAGACCAATAGCCAGGAATGAGGAAGTGATGAGATTGACCCAAAGAATCTCCAAAGGAGACAGAGGGAAGATGGAGGTGCCACTTCTATCCTTGAAAGAGAGACCAATAAGGAGGAGGATGACCTGGGAGATATTGGAGATCAAGAGATGGAGCAAAAACTGCAAGCCTGGTTAGAAAAGGGTCTTAAATGAACAAGTGCGCGGGAAACAAACCTTCTGGATGTTGTCAAACAAGCGGCGACCTTCCTTGATGGCGGTAACGATGGAAGCAAAGTTGTCATCGGTGAGAACCATGTCCGCTGCCTCTTTGGAAACGTCACTGCCTCTCTTGCCCATGGCAATACCAACATCGGCTTTCTTGAGAGCAGGCGAATCGTTGACACCGTCACCAGTCATGATGCAGTAGGCCTTGCGACGATGCATGGCCTCGAGCATTCTGACCTTGGTCATAGGGCTGCATCGAGCGACCACAAGAGGGAGGGCTTCAAGAGCGTCAACTTCGGCGTCGGTCATGGCGTCGAATTGTCCAGCGGCCATGACTGCTGTGGACGGCTCGCCGCCGCGCAAAATGCCGACCTCATGAGCAATGGCAGTAGCAGTCTTAATGTGATCTCCGGTAACCATGTGGACTGAGATACCAGCCGTGTTGCACTTCTTGACGGCTCCGAGAGTCTCGACGCGAGGGGGGTCGTACAGGCCAGCAAGACCTAGGAAGCGGAGCTTGCACTCCGTTTCGTTTCTCTCGCTAGCGTTCTCAGCGTCTTCGAGGAATCGTTGAGCAACGCAAAGGACTCTGAGACCCTCTGAGGCTAATTCGTCAGCTTTGGCCGCAATTCTCTGCTTGACATCGTCCGACTCGGCCAATCTCTCAACCATGACTTCGACGGCACCCTTGGTAAACACCTGGCGGGGAGCGCCGGGAAACTCGTAAACGACACTCATGAGCTTGCAAGTGGAGTCAAAGGGGAACTCGTACAACATCTTGGTCTTTTCGGACGAGATGAGGTCAGTCTTTCCCTTTCCGTATCGCATAGCAAAGACCTGAAGGGCAATCTCGGTGGGCTCGCCGATGGCAGTCCATGAAACCGGCACCTCAGTAGCGGTGGTCATAGACTCGGTATCGGTCGAAGCCTTGCCGTCGGTAACAGCGGAGTTGTTGCACAGAGCAATAGCCTTGAGGAAGGCGCCGAAGGACGAAGAGATGATAGTGTCGTCAGACTTCTCAACCGTCGGAGTCGAGGCTCCACTAGAGCCCGAGCTTGATGCGGTCGATCCAGGCCAACGCACTTTGCCGCTGGTTGGGTCGTAGGGGTCTGTAGTGCCCTCTATAATGGCGGTCGTATCTTCGGCCAACCAGATCTTTCTGGTAATCATTCGTCCCTGCGTAAGCGTACCTGTCTTGTCGGAGCAGATGTTGGTGACACCACCAACGGCTTCGAGAGAGGAGAGCTTGCGAACAATGACGTTTCCAGACGCCATTGCTTTGGTACCAACAGCCATAGTGATGGTGAGGACAGCAATAAGGGACTCGGGAATGACGGCGACACCGACGCAGATACCGTAAATGAGAACCTGGTCATCAATGTCGAACTTGCTGACCGCGAAGACGATAATGGCCAGAAGGATAGCCAGACCGAACAGCAGCAGAGCAAACTTGCTAAGCTTGACCTGAAGAGGAGTGCCCTCGAGGCCCAGGATGCTCTTCATGGCAGCCTTGGAACGCGCGAGAGCACGGGCGGGAAGTGAGGCGTTCTCGTCTCTCTTACGAGTAGTGCGAAGCATCATGGCGATCTTGCCCACCTCGGTTTCCATACCAGTGGTGGTGACGATACCGCGGGCGCGTCCTCGAGTGACGGTGGTAGCCGAGTAAACCATGTTGATGCGGTCGCCGAGGGGAATATCAGCCTCCTCGAAGAGTGCCTCGGGGTGCTTGCTGATGGGCAGCGACTCGCCGGTAAGGAGGGCCTCGTCGATGGAGAGGTTAATTCCCTCGAGGAGACGAAGGTCGGCTGGAACGACATCGCCGACAGCGATCATGACAAGATCACCCTTGACCAGAGTCTCGGCTTTGATGGTCTCCGCGATTCCGTCGCGGACGACCTTGCACGTCGGGGCGGACAGCGCGTACAGACTCTGGATAGTCTGTTCGGCATTGTAGTCCTGGACAAAGCTGGAGAGATGTCAGCCATGCATGCTAGGCGACCGAAGTGCTGAGGGAGGGAAAGGTGTGTGAGACCGAGTCGGCTCGGTGGCAGGGGTAGAGGATGAGCCACTTTGCCAAGAACCTCACGGGCAGGGTACATTGAGTGCGCGGTGCCACAGGAGCGGTCAGCAGTCACCCAACCCAGCCGCGGGGCGGAAGCTAGGCCATTTGTGCAATGCAACGACTCAAGAGAATCATGAATTCTGTCGGCCAGGCACGAAGAAGCAGAGGGAAGCAGACATGGACCAGTGCGAGGGGACAAGGTGAAGGCGGACGACGTAACTTACCCCACGACGATGTTTAGAAGGATAACGGCGGTGATGACACCTCCTTCAATGTAATCTTGGATAGCAAAGGACAGAATCATGACAATGACAAGAACCAAGGTCAGACTGTTGGAGATTTGTCTCATGACAATCTCCCAAACGGATAAGCCCTTTGCGCCCTCGATACGATTAGGCCCGTCCCGTTCAAGACGGGCGGCAGCATCGGCCTTTGAGAGGCCATTTTCAAGATCGGTTTGCCAGAGGAGACCTATGTCCGTGACAGGAACCGAATGGGCAGGCCAGTGGGGGACCGGGTTGGGGATGGGCGGGGGCCGCGGTATAGACGGCGGCTCGTCCTGCTCGGGATTCACTTCCGCGGCAGCTGTGTTGTGTTCACCATGCCTGACGGCTTCGGGTTCTCCCATCGGATATCGGTAGGTTACGGCTTAAAACGCGCGCTTGGGGGGTTTGGATGGTGTATGTTGGTGCTTTTGGTAAAGCCCTGCAGATGTTGATCTGGGAAGAAGTCTGTTAATAGAGAACGGGCAAGCTCAGAGCTTGGGGTTGGTGATGAAGAAGAGAAGAGAAGAAGAGGGTAAAAGAGGTGTGTGCTAGGAGACAGCGTTAAGTTATACTTTGTGGCGGGTGGAATGCGTGCCAAGGGAGGGGAGCGTGGATGTATGTACCGGGAAGACAACCAGCCTAGAGGAGGGTGATGGATGGATGGGATACTAGGAAATCTGGACGTATCTCCGTAACGGACGAACGAGAGAGGCCTGGGGACTGAGAGAGAGAGAGACGAGGTACCTCTTACCAAACGACCCCCGTTGACTGTCCGAGGACTGGGGTGGGGAGGAGGGATGCAACGCGGGCGCGGGACGGTGGTGGGAAAATAGCTCCGACCGAACGGGACGACGAGTGGATGGGCCGAAGAAGTGAAGACCGAAGCGCATCCGTTGGGCGGCTTCCTGTCTTGGACTTTGTCTTGGAAGATGGAGCCAGTGAGGTATTCGTACCATGTGTCGGTCATGAGCTAAAGTAGGGCCACAATTGTTAGTGTCGGAACGAAGGAATGCAACAGTTGAACAGAGTGTGGGAGGAGGACTTGCATGGAGGGGATTGGATGTGAGGTATCTTCTGTCACCTGGTATCAATAAAAGCTGCGGGGTATGCCTTGTAGAGATAGGTACTTTGGGTCAGGTAAGGTACGTGAAGTAAGGTACCTTAACATACGCCGTATACCTTGATCAAAATATGCTGGATATTGAGTGACAAAGTGGGCGGGAAGCTTGGCAAATCGCAGGGGCGTGAATAGGTGACAAGGTTGGACGTGTTCAAGATGGGTGTGTCTGTCTTGAGTCCTAACTTTTTGTCGGCTTGCAGCTGTAGACGAGACGAGACGTCAAGGTTGTGCTTGACAGAAGAAACGATAAACGGGAAACAGGTAAGGCGTAACAACGGGGGAGAGGAAGCAAATTGAAGATGATGGATGATGAATGATGGATGATGCGGGGGATGGCTGAGTATACCGAAAAGAACGCCCATGGATGCAGATGCGGCAAACCAAAAGGGAAGGAAAGGTACCTGATACTTTTGCGGATGCTCCTGCCTTCCATGATTGCGATGCAGGCGCAAGCAACGGGAAGGCACACTGTTCGTTCGGGTTGTCTGTTTCCTTCCCAATGATTCCATTTCCATTTCTATTTCCTCAAGGTACCTTCCCTAACCTTGCTCCGTACCTTAAGGGAAGGTATTAGCAACTGCGCAAGCAAGTGCCACCAACTTGGAAGACAGGAGAGTCCGGCTGCCAGAGTGACGGGACTGGCAGGCCAAATTGAGCGAGAAAGGGAAAGCACTAAGACTCGAAGCGGCGGAAACAACGACAAGTACACAGTTGCCAAGACGAGCTTCCTCCAGTCGCCGCCAGCGCCTCCGTGTTCCCCAGCGGTCTCGTGCCGGCGAAACTGTGGAAACGGTGCAATCCAGCATACTGGATCGACCAACACTGACTACTGCCCTGAGTTACCTAGCTGACGGCGCAGTCCGCAGCAACATTGTGTGACGCATCAGCCGTCACAGCCCCTGAAGCATGGTGGCAATCACTGGAAGGTCCGCTGTAGTGTAGCGTCAGGTCAGGGCAGTTCACTCAATACGCAGCTGAGAGAATGCCTCGGATGTTGACTGTGTGAGGTATCGTGGTAAGGTATCCCCAAGGTTAAGGCGAGAAACGGTGCTGATGATGGGAACGCGCAGGCCCGGGGTGGAGAAGCAACGCAGCGGCGCCGCCAAGGAGCACCGATGTCCGCCCAGCGCGGGCTGGTCGTCGTCATCAGGGAAGGAGGGAACCCGCCGTCCAATCATGACTCCGGCAAGTGGCTGGGGTGTCGGGGCCGTTTCTGGCCAGCTGATAGCTGATAGGGGCGGCCACTGTGACCAGAGTGGCTGTGCAAACCATTCGCTTCATCCAAACCGTCTTGCTCTGTAAGGCCAAGAGCACCGAACTCTTGGTCGTCCAGACTATCAGTGAGAATCTTTGCGTGTCAATTCTGTCAGTGGTATCCGTACATACGCTACGCTTCTGATCAGGTACCTGATCTTGGATACACAAGCACGCAATGGTCCGTTACTTTCCAGTTTCTACGGCCATCATCGCTGACAATGTAATCCCTGCCTCATTTGAGTCATTCGATTGGTCAGATGGCACGCGGCTCTTGGCAAGCTGCGCTAGTGCCTCCAGCCCCACTACCCTGATTCCGTTCGAGAAGAAGGAAGGAAGCATTGCCTGGCAAGTCGCGACTTGAATTGCATCTTGCCAGTTGAATGTCTTGTTGGCAGCTGCTCTTTTTCTCGTCTCAGTCCAACACCTTTGTGCGCCTATCTGCGGATATTCCTCCTCTCTCCGAACCATGTACTCTTTCACCCCTTCACCTCTTTTGTGCGCTTCATTGGGCCCCCAAAATGTGCCTTGTCCAGAGCGACATCAGATGACAATCGTTCCTCCCCCACCAGACCAGACATTAATGGACAGACGAAGGGCCACCCTTGCAAACCTTGCGAAACCTTGCGACGGCCACCTCGCCTTCGCAATGGTACGGAGTACGGAGTAGTCGCAGCATGTTCCGCCAAGCTTCACCTTCCCTCATCGTATCCTCTGATAGACGGCCACAGACACGATATCTTAGGTGCCTTACATCATACCAAGAAGTCTAGTCCACGTGCCTTGCTTTCCATTTCCCAACATTACGCATACACCAACCGCATCGCATTCGACTCGCCTCGCTTGGCCGCGCTTTCATCCGCCCAAGCTGTTTGTTTACCATTGTCTTCCATCACTGTCGTCACTGGCTTGTTTCCGCTATCCAGCAAAAGAAGCGAACATGTCAAACACACCAAACAACGGCCAGAATGCCCATGGAGGACATTGGATGGATTGACTCTCTCAATGCCTGTGTGGTCTTTCCCTGGCCTGTCAACACCCACAGCCAATCGCGCAATTCCGCACCTCATCCACCTGTTCTCCCAAAGTGGTAGGTGAGCAGACCATGGCAAGCAAGCCTTATCCCGACACACACCATGCCCCAGCCTCAGGGACCTAGCATTTGGATCAAGTACTGAGTACCTAAGACGGATACTTCGTAGCCCAGCGGGATTGCTTGCTGACCTTGCGTTTTCAAACACCGCTAGAGCCAGTCATTTCTTCTCCTCCTTTTACCGACTTCTCCGACGTACAATGTACAGACAGTTCCAACTCTAAGGTAGAGAAGCGTACGTGGTCTGCAGTGTCACGTGTGGGACCGCTCCCGTCTCGACCTGCCCTATCGAAATTCAAACGCTGAATGCTAAACGCCAAGAAAAATGCGTCTCCTCAGCTTCATTGTGGCCATTGGAGCCGAGAGACGTATGCCTGCTCGAGCCCAAGTATCCGAATGTGCATCGGGATACGAATGCATACTCCCCAATAGTCCACGCGGTAAGAATGCGAAGAAAGCACCAACCAACGACAGAAGCCCAAACATTGTCGACGTAGTGGATCTCTTCTGGGCTCGTCTGCTACGCCGAGACGAGCCTGCATTGCAATTCTCCATCCTCTTACAATCCCACGTTCACACGATAGCACGAGCAGCCACTCAGCTCAAAGATACCATCACTCTATCAAGGAATGGAGAACGGCCAAGTTTCAGCAATGTACACGCCATGCCAGGAAAGCCGGTTGCAAACGCCCCGGCAATTGCTGCCACGTATCGCCCAGTTCGCTCTAGACCATGACTGTGGACAAGTTACAACCAATCCACCACACCTTGCAGCAGTCCCGTTTGGCAATTGCTAAGCTTAACTGCCCCAAACTTTTGCACCAATCCGACGGCCCTGTCCCCGGTACGGACCTTAGATCTGTCTGCCGCCAGATGCAAGTGTGGGGGCCCTCCATGCTGCCAACCCTTGGCCAAACCCTCACTGAAGGTCTCGTCTGCCTGGGAATGCAAACATTTCGAGAGGTCAAAAAAGGCTTATGGGACCGCCTACGCTACACCAACATGAACTATGGGCCCATCCAAATGCCGGGGAACCTGGGGGAAGAAGAGGGGTAAAAGGAATCTTGCCCAGGAAGACGCCGGGGAGCAATGTCCATGGCGCGCCATATCACACACGATACCTCAGGATGGTCTTGGAAGTTGATCTACCTCACAGTCTCGGGGCCCAAAAGTTGAATGTTAGACGCCGAACACTCGCCATCCCTTGAATGACCGTCGACGCCCTTCAGCACTGCCCTGCGGGGTCGTTTCTCGGCGCTCACCAAATGTCTGGGCATCGCCAGATTACCTATCCCAAAGCCCAACAGGTATCGCCGAAAGATATCACAGACAAAATGAGTCGTCGGCGGCTACGGAAACGGATGTCGTTGAGATTGACGCTTTTTCGGCCGTGAGCCTCAACACGCTCTTGATGAGGGGGATTTGCAGGCCAGGGCCGGGGAGGGGAAGCGAAGGGGGGCAGGTTCCAGGGCGCCGGGCAGCGAACCTGTGGCATGGGGCGCGAGGCGCAATGCGGCCCTAAAGCGCACCACAGGAAGCGTTGAGGAGCAAGGTCCAGCCTACAACAGCCCCAGCCAGAATCCAGTGGCTGCCACCTCAGTGCCGGGGACGCAGGTTTCAGTTAGGGGCGGTTGTGCCGTGAGGCCATGGTGCCAGTTGTGCACACAGCGTTAGTGTGACTAGCGAGCGGCTGGTGGGTAAGGCAACCTGAGTCTCCCCGACCTCTTAACTTCTGCCAGCCATCGTGAGCGAAATTTGGCCTTTAGGATGTTAATGTCGATGTGGTCAGTCGCGGATGACGAACTGGATGCGTCCAACCTGAAAGTGCCGAGTTTTCTGTCTCATCGCTCACTGAATCGTACAGCCGTCGGGCCCAACGCAAAGGCGTCCCTGAGGGCCGTATTGCCCCCTTTCTAGGCGTGATTTGACCACGGAGACGGTGTACTTTTTTTGGTCAGACTGGGACACGACACGTTGCAGACAAAGACGGAGGGCCGTCGCGCGATGATTATGAAAACCGTTTCTCGTCAGGTCGACTATCTCGCGCATATTTTGTTCATCATGCAGTTGAACCAGAGTTCCCATTATCTACACACACGCGCCATTACTTCCTTCCCTGCTCGCTAGAAAAGACATGGTATCATGAAGGAAATTTCCCACCAGCTAATAATTAGACAGGCCCAGTATCCCTTCAACCAACCTCAGACGCAATTTGCTATGCTCTTCTTCACGAAGCCAAAGTCCTTACTCTCTCAAATGGCTTCTGCTCATCAATCTCCTCTTCGCTAAACCAGGTTCCATGCAATCCGTACGGTACGCGCTGCGGCAATTTGATCCGAGCCACGACCTCCTTCATCTCTTTCGCGTCAATTATCCACAACTCGCTCGCAGCATCGCGCACACATTCACCATGTTCGTCGAGCTGATCTTCATTGAACACGTATGTCAACAGCCATCCGTCGTCCTCGGAGTCTAGTTCACGCCGAGGTACAAACCTTGGCTCTTGCGCATACCATCCGACGGGCATTCGGAAGAGCTTGATAGGGTCTTGCGGATCCTGGCTCTCTATGACCTGGGCAATGCTACGTGTATCTACACAGCCTTTGACTGGCTGTGGTGGTTGTGCGACGCCTCGTGCTATCAATGTTCGAACGTCAAACTTGGCCAAGTGGTCGATCTTTGCAGCTTTGCCAAGGGCAACTGTATAAGATGCCTCGCCGGTGGAGCATCCGTAAACGTATCGAGCCTCCTGCATTGAGTACGCCGGTGCAACAGATGGGAACTCCAAGGAAATGGCCGATAAAGCCCACTGGTGTCTGATATTGTATTGGATTCCGGCGACGGCCGACAGTGGGAAGTTGTAGTAGTACAATCGGCACTGCTCCTCCTCAGCGTACTCGGGAGGCACTGGCTTCATCTCTGGCGTGGGAAGATTGCCGGCGCTGAAAACCATGGATGCGGAAGTGAGCCGACAGGCCACGAGATTGACCGACACACTAGGACCATTGACATCTGTCTCCGATGAAATCGAGTCCCAGCAGTTAGCGGTGTGAAAAATGGTGCAAGGGTTAGTCTCGAACCATTGAACCGCGTGCGGCTGGTGTCGTGGGAAGACTCCGAAGCGTGACCTCCCGGCCGAATCGTACGACAAGCTTGGAACACCGCGAATCAGGTTCATGGTATCCAACGACAGCGGCAGGTCCATGATAATGGTATGGTTCCTTGATACCCCAAAGTCATGCATCATCTTGGGTGACTCGACTCCTGGAACCGCTAGGTCGAACACCGGAGAGCGGCCGGTCCCGGACTTTGATGTTGCTGGCACCACGGAATAACGCACAAACGGCTGGACAAACGTAGCGTGGAACGTAATGAGCTCTTTTGTCACCGGATCAACTCGGGGGTGAGCAGTTGTCCATTCCCTCATGAAGGATACGACACCTGTACCCCCAAAGCCACTCTCGGTGCTTTGTCGCGGTTCGTTTTCTGCTGTTCTTCCGTTGAACCAACCAATAGTCTCCAAGCTTGGCAATGCGAATCTGAGCGGGGGGCCGCTTTCGCACGTTGCCAACGCTCTCCCGTTGTGAAATAGGACACTGGTGTTGGCGACGCTAATCTTCTTGATAGGACGACCAAAGCCTGGGAGTCGCGAGAGGAATACCAGAAACACGGTTCGGAAAACCTCGAGAATGATGCGAACCATGCTCACTGCCGGATTCACCAGCGTTGCGATGCTCGGAACTACTGGTCGGCGCAGGTATTTGTTGGTTTTTGCGTGGCAGTAGACGTCGGTCAACAGGTATTGATTGACGAATTCCGGCTGGATCAAAGTGTTCTTCTCCCCTGCCCGGCGGAATAGAACACCACTCAGCATGCCATCGCCATCGAACCAGTGCGCCGCTCGGCTCGCATCATCATTTGTCACCGGGTTGCCGCCATTGCGAACATACTGGCCTCCTGCTAGATCAGAAGGGATCGTGCCCTCATGGCTGCAGGGAGTCAAGGGGAGACACGATTGAATCGGCGCAAAGTTCCCTGACAGGTAACTACACAAGGAAGCAGTCAGAGATCAGCTATGGGCAAAAGGGCCAAAGAATATGTACTCACGGATGACGAGTATTCTCGTCTCCCCGACGTTCATCTGTCATCTTCGCGCGTAGGGCAGACGTTGCCTGGCCAAGGTACGTTCGATGTTGTCTGTCAACATGTAGGCTCAACTTCTGCGATGAATGGCAAAAATCAACCTGCCAACATCGGCCAAAAGACTCAGGCAGAAGGTCTGAATTATCTTTTGTGAAGCTGGCTAGAGTTCAGGGACGGCTGATTGCACTTCAGAATTCAAGGCACGGTTGAAGGTGGGTTGTATCACCTGGCCCGACGTTGGCCGGGATGGTTTACTGGTCGCGCTCGAGCATTAGACCACCATTCCCATCCGTGCTCGAACTGCCGACAGACTGCCCATCAATCGATTCTGGCTCGATGACGACATCGGACGACGAGAGACTCGGAAGTTCGGAATTGCTTAGTAGTCTTTCTCCCTCGTAGTGCGCGGTCCAGGTCGCCTACGCAAGTAATTTCGGATCCGGTTTGAGCTGGACGCGTGGAGACATGCCACAAGCCTGCCTTTGCTCACGCCCAGCTACAGCTATGGCAATCGGTCAACGGAATGCGATTTGCCAATGCCTTCATAACACATGCGGCCGCCAACTCGTCAAAGAGACTTCGCGTGTAAGTTTGGCTCGAAGAGATCTGCAACTTAGTGCGAACCACGACTGTGCAGCACATGGTCACCAGACTTGTTTTGACACAAGGGTGGCAGAAATCGTGGACATGAGACAGATCGCGCACACAGCTTGGCGATCGGCAAACCAAGCAGAAGCCAAATTTGTTTTCTTCCTTATGGCTCCCTCTAGAATAAAGCTAATGATGTCTTGCCAGCCGTTGGAGCGTTAGCCTGAAGAAAACCTGGACGGGCTAGACGTGCTGTCCTGTCTGCTGCCAAGTCTTTCGGGCTTTGCGCTGCAGACATCAAATCACTTGCCGGCGCTAGCTCCGGCTTAGTGGGGCCGGGAATACCACTCGGCAGCTTCCGGTCCAGAAGCCGGCAAAAGTGGTGACTTCATCGACCTCAAATCCTTTCTTGTTGCGCCAACCGCCTTACATGCCTACGTCGGAACTTTGTCACCATCGCCCTACTTCGAGACGCGAAAAAAAAAACTGTTCTCAAATCGTTTCCCAGTCGCACTGAGTGAATTACTTTGAAAATGGGTCGTTTTCGTTCTGGCGCGGAGCAATTCTCCGCTTCAGGCCTGACAACCAGGGTTACAGCCTCCTGCCGTCATGGACTCGTCAAGGATTTGCGCGGGGAGAGAGTTCACAACTCATTTGATCTTATTCGCCTGACCCCGCTTCTAGGCTGAAGGACGAGTAGCAGAATCCCTTTGCGTTGCAGTCATTTCTGGACGGTTGACATTGTTGACAGGGACGGCTCGAGCTTGGAATACCATAGCGCCCGTCTTGGCCCAATAACCGCTGCTAGCCTAGTCTCACCTGCGAGGGTGTCGCGCTGTTTGGGCTACGGCGAAGCTACTCCTCCATCGCGATGGTGTCCTCGCGTCGACGACTAGCCTATCGTCTACAACTTGCGGTAAGTTGGCGTTTCGAGTCTAAACGTCATCCAGAGCTCATGGAAATCTCAATACCACCTATCCCCTCTTCGCCTGGGTGAAGTCATCCGACATGGCTAGATGCGGATCAACCGGCAGGGGCTTTTGGGATCGCGTTAGCTCGGGCCTAAATCTGATGTTGGCCGAGGACAAGAGATGAAGATATATGGCATGTAGCAGCTCCCTCACTATACTACAAGAAGACCAGAGACTAGCATCACAATACTTCCTGCCATATACCTTGGCATACTTAACCAGCAGCGCCTCGCTCAAAGACTGCCGTCAGCTTGCATTTGACACAGAAAACCGAGCTGCGAACAACACTCTCACAATGGCGAACGATGCTCTCAACACCAACGCCCGCGTTGGCCAACAAGCCGACCTGGGCATCTCACCCCGTGCCTCGGACTGGTATTTTGCCGTCTGCGCTATCATGGCGTTTTCTACGCTCGTTTTTCTAGGGATGGGTTTCACCAAGCGAGAGACGCACCGCCTCTTCCACTACATCACCGCCACGATTACCTTTGTCGCTTGCATAGCGTACTTCTCCATGGGCGCCGGGCTGGGCCAGGTACCTATTCAGGTTGAATTCCCCCGCAACAATAGTCAGGTTGGCGGCGCCGGCACACGCGAGATCTATTACGTGCGGTACATCGATTGGTTCATCACCACGCCGCTATTGCTTCTGGACCTGCTTCTCACTGCTGGTTTACCCTGGCCTAGCATCATGATCGCCCTCCTCGCGGATGAAATCATGGTTGTTACAGGCCTAGTAGGCGCCCTTACAAGCACCAGCTACAAGTGGGGTTACTGGGTGTTTGGCATGTTTGCCTTCTTCTACGTAGTTTACGCGCTCGTGGTTGACGGACGAAAGCACGCCGGTGCGCTGGGCGGGCAGGTCAGCTCCACGTATCGCAACTGCGGTGTCCTCACCATCTTCTTGTGGTTCCTGTACCCCATTGCCTGGGGTGTCTCCGAGGGTGGTAACCTGATTCACCCCGACTCTGAGGCTGTTTTCTACGGTATCCTGGATGTTCTCGCCAAGCCCGGCTTCGGTTTCCTCTTGCTCTGGGGACACAGGAACATCGATCCCACCGCTCTGGGACTCCACATCCGCGAGGCTGGTCAGCCCAAGAACCGCCCTGTCGGCAGCCACGACGGAGACCACGGACACATTGGAGGTGCGGGACCTAGCAACGGCCTGTAAAGTCCTTAGGTTGTCGCGACAATTGTTTGGGATACGGAAAGGTGACGGTCTTCAGCACCAGTAGCAGAGTTAGGCGCATTGCATCTACCTATCAGGGTAGCCATGGGGTCTGGAAAAGTTCCTTGGGTCTTTGCTAATTGTGGTGTCACGTTTCTTCGTGTTGATGGAGGTTCGATGCGATTCATTTGCGGGCGCTTATACGCGTTGGCTTAATATTTGGTCGTGTAATGCTCATAGGAGTTGTTGTATGTAGGGAATTTCATTTATACCCATAACTTAAGCGACCAAGTTCATTGTGGGTGTGAGATCTGGTGGCATGTGATTGCCGGACATGGCTTTTCGGATATTTCCCTGAACATCGCGATGTTGACAAAACAACAAGATAACAATAGCCTTCGTGTTCGTACTTGACAGAGAGCGACAAACCTTCTAGTGATACATGAACGGGAATCTGTTTGAATCCCTGAAATAATGTTCCCGTTTCATCAATGAAATAGGCACCTCATCCAAGGTGAATCAAGCTTTGCGGGGTAAAAAGGCCTGGCCATCTGGGTGTAAGTTAAAATTAATGCACCTGGCGAGGAGCCAAGACTCAAATCTGAGAAGGGGGGCCCGAGGCATTGAAATCTCCGGACAAAAGTATGGGCCAGAATACTGTTTGCTAGATTTAGAGAAGTTTCTTTTGAGAAAAAGTACCGTCTCACGATCGTTTGCAGATTGAGACGAGTGGATGGGTACCAAAATTCCATGTGTTGTCTTCGAATCGTTCTGAGGATGCCCTTCATACCTGGTACGCATCTGTGAAAATGGATATAGACTAAACAAAAAGCTAAGAAAGCTGTTCGGTGCAAAAAGTTACTGATTTCACCTGATGGACAGAAATGGGTCTGTTGGGGTTTAAAAAATAAAAGCAACAGAGTTTTCCTCGGTTATATTCCAAACGGCTAGAGTAATTAATACTTAGATTGGCGAACACAATGATTCAGCCCAGCAGGAAATAAAACATCCAAAAAGATGCTACGGCTTTTGCGGCGACATGATGAATATGGGGCGATTAGGCGGCAGTGCAAAGAGACGTCTCTTGAGGTAAAGGGTTCGCACTATCACACATACTGATTTATGGAGTAACTCAAGGGTTTCCTGTTTGTCCATATCCTAGGGGCAGTCGCATTCATATGCTTGGTGATGATAATTATGAAAGATATGCAAAGGGCGGGGCTTTCCAAGCACCTATGATCAACTTAGGTTGTGAAAGAGTTTCTGCTCAAATGACTAGAAGCCTGGCTGTCCGGTCTGGATTTCTATCTACTGAACTAAGGATATCACATTTACGCAAAGTAGAATCAACCCTCTCCCATCATCAGGCCACAGTCTCTCAGCCGTTTCTTTTCTTTTTTTTTTTTTTCTTTTTTCCCCTTTTTCGTCTTCTACGGATTTTGCGCTTCGAGATTCATATCGAAATTCATACCCGCCCAGAAGCTATCGTCCATAAAACTCAGACCATTCTGCTCGCCAAGCTCACCGATAGAATTCGCCAAGGCGAATTGCGTGTTGTATGCCGACTCTGATCCGCCGTTACTCAGCAACGCCCCCTGGAGCGTCTGGTCCGCCGCGCCGGACTCATCCCACGCGAATTCGGGGTCAATCATGTTGATCAAGGGACACAGGCTCTGCTCCAGTGTCGGCTGCGGCTGCATAGAACTTGATGCTGCATCATTCATGTCGCTTTCTACCACCGCCGCCGATGCCGGCGCCGTTGGATCCGGACCAGGGTCCTTGTAGGCGTCTTTCTGCTGCAGGATGGAGTTTGGCATTCGCTCCGGGTATTTCTGATACAGGTACTTGATCAGATCGGACCGCATCTTCGCGGCAGGACGCCAGGAGATGCCCAGCTCCGCCAGGACCTCGAGGCAAGCTTCGATATAGATGGTACAACACGGCCTCCCCGTATTCGCAAACTCCGGGTCGGGGCTCGCGTACTGGATGAGCACCAGCGCCGCGGTAAGCGTGCAGTGCGTCGCAGTTATAGGGCTCCGCCGGAACGAGCCAAAGACCTGGCGGTACTTTTTGCCGGCGTGGCAGATGCGTTTGGCCGACTCGATGCAGAGGACCTCTGCGCGTTTGGCAGTGTCTGTTTTGAGGGCCGGGGGCGTGTCTTTGGATTTGAGGAGGAAGGGCTTGAAGAGGAGGATGCAGCAGGTGTGGTATACCATGTGGAGTGTGTAGACTTGGGGCAGGTCGTTTTGTTTGTCGATGCGGAGGTCGGCGGGGAGTTCGTAGAACCAGGTTTTGAGCTCGAGGGTGCAGGAGTGGAGGAAGGATATTCTTTGGGGGCCTTTGTAGAGCGGTTTCGGGGCGTATCTGGGGATTGTTAGTTCAGTTCAGCAAAATGGAGGGGGGGGGGGTAAGCATCTGGGATAGTTCGTACAGAGCCAAGAGGATGTTTTCGAGGATTCGACAGAGACCTATGAGACCGCGGTGTACAAGGACCTTTTTGTTGCATCT